TAATTTCGTAGTCAGTTTTGCAAATTGGTGTGTACAGCTTTACAAAAAGTGTGTTTATGTTGTTTCAGGGGCATTTCCAACACACCATATCGAGGGTCTTTGGCATAGAAGAAGCCTATGGGCTCCAGAGCTGCAGAGTTAAGGGTGGGAACTTGTAGTAATGAGGAAAAATAATAGTCTGTAGATCAGAAATTAATATATTTTAGTTTGTTTTTAGTAAAAGATACAGTTTATGAAAGAAATGCTCTTGTTAGCATACAAATGTTCTGAATAATGGCATTGCCAAAGTGCTCTCAGAGCTGTAAAGGAGCAGGAAAGCTAACAGTATGCTCACAAAATCACCGTCTAGACATGTAATCGACCCCAAATCACCGTCAAAGTTTCTCAGCTGGCCTTTTACTGTCAGCATTAACCAAAGGTAACACGGTGAACAAGCTTAAGTAGCATGTGACACGTGTTACAGTCAGTTATTCAGTTAAATCCATCATACAAGTCTTCATGTTCTCTGTAAAGGAGGCTTTTACTGCTTCCCTGTTGCTATGGTTACATAGTGACAGCCAGATTAGTAGCCAGTTTTAAATGTTGAGAAGGCAGTGGTAACAGCTGTTCGTTATTTAGGATTTAATGGATTTTCTGCAGCCAATCGGGCTCAAGTATTAACTGTGGGATATTTGTATATATAATGTGTCACCACTGTTTATGAGTTAGAGTTTTTACCTGAACTTTTTCTAACTCAGACTCAGGGTGAAACTCTTGAAATGTGTCTACATTTAGTTCTGACCTTTTAATAAAAACACCTCCAGCAGTAGCTTAGCTCGTAGTTCAGTACTTAAACAAAGCGCCAGAGTACAACAGCCTGCAGGTTTTTTTTAAATCAAAATTACACCAGTGTTGTCTGGGATGTTAAAATTTGAGTTTCAAATTTTGACCTTTAATTGTCGCATCCTCATTAATCCAATTAATATAATTCCTACAGAGAAGCTGGGATGTGTGATGTGGTTTTTGTCAGTCATGCTAATGGTGTCAGAGGTTGAGGTAGACTTCAGGGAATGAGGTGCGATTTCAACTTGTACTGTATGTACTTCTAAGACCTGGATACAGGTATTCTACTTGGCCTTGCTGCCAGGTTTGCAGGTGGCCTTTCATGCCGTGGTGGCTAAAAATATCCTGAGGGCTCAAAAAGTATTACACAGTTATCCAAGAGTTATTTGTAAAAGTGTTGACAGGGCACCTGAAACCACAGACAAATCCCAAACTCTATTTTTCTACTTTTTGTTTATCGTAGAGGAGATGGGAGTAATCAAGAGACTTAACAGATCTTATATTGATAGTTTAGCATCTGATGCAAATGCTCAGTCTCCTCTGTTTCTGAGTTTTGATCTCTGGATTTCTAAGAGCAGCTGGTCAGTTGAAGTCAGAGGTGACTGAGATCAGTGAGATAAGAAGGTGCCAATCCATTTCAAGCCTTAAAAACAACCAAAAAAGGTTAACGTCAATTCTAAAACCAACAGGAAGTGTAAATGCGAAGAGGCTAAAGTTTGCAGATGTACAGTGGAGGCTGCAAAGACGACTGGTCTGAAGCAGAATATAGAGAATCACAGTAACTTCAATGTGATGACGGTATGGATCTTACTTCGAGAGTCATTTGAACACAGACAAGGTGAGACCTTTTGCTAGAAGTCTGAGCTGCAAAATGCTCCAACATTTGACATTTTTTAACAGCTAGAGACTCCAAAACTGCAGCACAGTCATCCAGAACACTGGTTTGTCCAATATAACAATTTCTATCTATTGCGATTTTATAACTGTGCTCAGATCTGACAAACTCTTTAAATCCTGTGCCATCCCCACAATGGAAAGCATATAAGCCGAGCTAAGAGAGAGCGGTACACTTGAATGTGTCAATACCTTAGCAATGAACCCAGAGCTGGAAAGTTTCCTGCGCTACAGAAAGGGAAATAAAAGAAGAAAGATGTGAGCACAGTACGAGAGGAAGGTGAAGATGTGTCAGGCAGAGACACTGCAGACTTGTTAGTACCTGTCACGGCTGGTTGAAAAAAAAAAACTCACTAAACACTTTCATATCCTGTTAGAAAGGATTTCTAGTATGCGAGTCTTTAAACTCATAACAAGACATCAAGTTTTAACCCCTTAAAATCTCTTAGGCCAACCATAACATGCACAACCACTGGGCTCAAGATATGTAGTTAGTTAAACTTCAGATTAAAAGGTATCCAAAGGTTTTGCTAATGCAGTAATTTCACCTTAGCTGATTCAATGAGTGCATCTTTTATGCACTGATATAATCCAGACAAGTAGACAGGATCAGTCTGAATCTAATGTTGATCAGAAACTCCCACAGAGTCATTCTGGGTTAATTCTTTGCTGTAAAACAAAGTATTAACTCTTCCTGGTCGATTCTCAGGTAACAGAGACTTGACTCAGCTTCTTCTCTGGTGACTCAGACTCGTCTCGGACCTGAACACTGACGACTCAAGACGAAACTCAGACTTTAGTTTTGGTTTATCTATTCTTTAACACGGGCTGGTGGATGATCACACAGCTGTGCGCAGATATTTGTGTGCTCTGACACATCTGAAACAGAGTCAAACACTTGGAGCGACACCACCCAGATGTTTCTGTTAGAGCACTGGCAGAAACAGCAGTCAGATAGTTGTACCTGTCCTGTTTCCTGTTTCAACACGAGCTGCAGTCACTCTGTACACTGATGGATGAAACTTCGGCGTTGAAAAGAAACGAAACTGTTGAACAAAGCAAGTTTTGACCAAGTATATGAACAGACAAACTTTGGAGTGGAGTGGAGGTACTTTATTATAATGACAAATCTCACTGAAATGCTGACTGCCTCAGTTCCCATCAGACATGTAAATACATTTAATATTTCACTTTTTACAGCAAGATTTATGCAATGAAAGACCAAAATGGCTTCCTCTGCTTATCCAAAAACACACCTAATGACTTTGGCTGTACTTAAAATTGCCTACTATACTAACGATAGGTGCTGATTTGGCTTAAATATAGTCGTGTGGAATGCCATATATAAACAAAAACTAAATCTGCAGTTAGCCAAAAATACCCAGATGTCTTAGTAATAGGAAAAAATCCCCAGAACACAGGGGAGCCCAGATCCCTCTGTACTGTTTCCACGATGCACAGCACGAAAGGTCTTCTTTACGTTTTATGGCAGCTGGTACTCAGCTTTCGGGTACACCACTGCCACCTACTGTCTTGGAGTGTTGATCCCCTCTATTATAACAATACAGTGCTAACATTTACCGGGGAAACAATAGTGAGCAACACCGTCAGTTGCAGTACAAATCTACTAATGTGAGAATTAATTTCCTTTGCGTTGAAAAAAGTCAGGTTACATTTACATAAAAAAGTGTGAAAGAAATCCTAGAGAGTGTTTCCAGAGAGTAACTTTTCATTTCTATGAGACTGGTTTAATTTCACGTGTTCAACTTCTTCACCTTTTCACACCATAGGAGGATGCTGCATAGAAGTGGTTTATCTCTCAGCTGAGATGTTTTTACTTTTGCCTTCAGAAACTAACAAAACAGAGAAGCCTGACCGGGCACACTGCAAGCAGATTGAACGTGGGTTTGAGTACGGCCTTTGGATCCCATTGTTAAAACATTTATTAAAAACAAACAACAAATCCTTTCTTAAATGTGAAGTAAATTTTCTAGTTAGTTTGTCTCTTAAAGCTTCAGTGAGGAACTTTGAGTTTGTGTCAATTTTGGCGCCCCCCTGTGGAAAGCACCTTGTTTATCCTGTCCTCTACATGCTTAGGTTGTATCTTCTGACAGAAAAAGGTCATCCTGCTTACTTTTACAGTTATATTTATTTATAATGAAATTTTTTTGTTTATGGAAAATGTAAAAACAGGGCTGTTTGTTCAGACACCTACCCCCTCACACAGGTTTCAGGCTTAAAAAATTGTAAAATAAGAAAAATCTCACTCTTGATGCAAATGGTCCTATTTGCTTTTTAAATTGTTACTTCTAATCCACTTCATTATGTCAAAAACTCTTTGTAGGAGCTTAAATAACAAGAAAAAATATGATTTTTTGGGGGAAACGGTTCCTTATTTCAAAAGTCTGAATGAGCAAAGAATCCAAGCTTGCACTGTCAGTTTCACATCCTGCATTATTGTTTTATGCTCAGATCTAAACTTGATGGTGTTGTCATGAAAGGTACAATGTAGACTTAACTTAATTACAGCTTAATCCATGTCTCCTTTTGCATAATTTTGAAATAGTTTTACTCCGATTTTGTTTCTTTTGCTATAGAAAGTGCCCTTAACTACTCTGTTATGGGCACTATTAGTGGAAGGCTACTTAGTCAGATCATGCAGTGACATTTGGAAACTGTCTAAATTCATGTCTGGAGTGTTTTCATTTATGGTGAAGAATTAAAAAAATGCTAATGAGATTGGATTTCCTCCAGAAATGAAAACAGGAGGATCAGTTCTTGTAAAGTGAACAGGTGGGAGGATCGTGTTTGAGCTCTTCCCTCCTCTGCCTCCCTGCTCTCCGCAGACTTCACCACATGGAAACCACATGGAGGAGTCTCTGCGGTGAAGCTGTAAAAACCTCAGCAAAACAACACTGCATCTTTTCTTCAACATCTCTGCTGTTATTTCTAAAGATCAGGGACGTTTTCAGCTCATGCTCTGAAATATCTTCATCTTTTTGTTGCTGTTTTCCGCTGCAGAAGAAGGAAAGTGCTCGTGGTTTCTCTCCTGTCTGCCTGCACAGCCTGTAATGACTGAGAGAGGAATGCTGCTGCTTTTATATAGGCCTCTAAAAATAACTCACCCCTCACTGCCATCTACAGACAGACTGACAATCCGCTGCAGCCAACAGCGTCTCCGCATCCCCGAGAACTCCGCCCCCTCACTCAGTCTCAGCGCCTCCTTAATTGGACGCTAGTGACATCATCAACCCTATTTACCTTATTAGGTCACGCATGAAAGTGACTGACAGGTGGCTCCTCCCCTCGCTCCCTCCCCTCGCGCGCCGGTCGCCTGGATTGCAGCGGGGTCCAGTCTGCTGCTGCAAGCGGAGCAAACCTGGCAACCTGGCAGCTTTTACTGGAGACCGATTGGCAATCTGGCAATGCGGAAATAGATCTGGCACCCCCGATCCCGGACCGAGGAGAGAGGCGTGACAGAGCAAGCAGAGAGGAACGGGGATAGCTGTGACAGAGATAAAATAATCAACTCTTTCTTTCCTGTTTCCCCCCCTTTTTTTAATTAAAGTGCTCAGGTGCGCTCCTTCTGCACCGGCTGGGATTTTTCCAGCATTTGTTTCTTTCAATTTGACAAGTCAGAGAAGAGGCAAGAAGAAGTGCGTTTTTGTCGCTCGGAATCCGGACTTCTTTACAGACTTTTCCTTCTTTGCATCAAGCATGGATGTGTTGGCGAATTACAGTATTTTCCAGGAACTCCAACTCGTTCATGACACTGGTTATTTCTCCGCGATGCCTTCCCTTGAGGAGAACTGGCAGCAGGTCAGAGATGCGTTTTATCATCTTTTCCGGGTGTTAAAAGGGGTTAGAAACTGGGATGAGATGTCACATTTGTTCAGTTTGCTCTTTTCTGAGTGTGTTTTTACTGTTTTGCATCAGCAGAGCGCTCCGGAGGGGCGGCAGCAGCAGCAGCCCCGCGTAGTTGCGTCTTTTTTTTTTTTCTCCTCGCTCACATGGAGCACGGCGAGGTCCGCTGACAGGAGAAAACACACACATCCACATAGAGAGGAGAGTGGGTGAGAGAAGGGATACAGAGAAAGCTTTACGCACTGATGGCACAAACACGTCTTTAAGAAGCATAAAGGAATTCTTTACTTTTACGCACATTTACCTTTTTACGCACGGTCCTTTAAAACATACTTAAGGGTTAATCAAACCCCCTTATACATTCAAGTCAGAGCAGGAGTGCGTTGTCTTGTGAAATCGTGGTCGCGTCCAGATTGAACCAACGTCTGTCTAGATTTCACATGGTGCTGAAAAACAACCTTAAATGAGGATAAAAATCGAGGTTTTTCTATAAGTGGCCCTTTCTTTCCTCACTTTAGTCTCCTAGGGACTAAATGCAGCTATTTTGACCCTTAAGGTTTTCCAGATATTAAGAGATAATGTTGGATGAAAACACAATGTCTACAAATGCTCTTTTTTTCAATGTAGAATTTGTCAAAGTTGACGTTGTAAGTGAAAAGAGCAAAATGAAGGGCTCCTATGGGGACCAGAACGAGCTGTTCCTGTCTCTTTAAGCCACAACGTGGTGCATATTTTATCTCAATGTGAAAAAGAAAAGTTTAAGAGGCTTGAAGGTCTAAACAGTCATTTGCTTGGCTTTCCTTGAATGATTTTGTCAAGTTATATTTGCAGTAGGCAGACTTATTTATCTCCCTGTGTTTAGGAGACAGTTCATACAGTCAGTAAGAGCAGATTGAAGGTGAAAGTGGAGTGATTTTTGTTTTGCAGTCTGAGCTGATGCTGGAGGAGAGGGCTTTTTTTAGAGTGACGGATCTGATCGATAGACCAGTCTGTCAGCCTGATATGTTTGGATTATCACACACACACACACACATGAATGCACACACACATACACACAGATGCCACAGAAGATGGACACATCCCTAACAGCTAGTGACTGGTTCTTAAATAATATATCCGCATCTGCCACTGTTTGTTTGCAGATAATCCTGCTGAATAATACATCATCACCTACTATAGAATGTTTACTAGACTCTGTATGGCCTTTATTACCTTTCTCTGTTATATAAAATCCTGTCTGTATGAATGTAACATAGAAAAAGGAGAAGTTATGCTTATCATCTGTGTGCCACATGCAACCACATTATCATATGTGTCATCTTACAGAGAGGAAATTCATTGAAATTTTTTGGTTTTCACAAATCTGAGTGAGTAGTTTGAGCAGCTCTGGACTTGAAAATATTCCATACAACACTCTTTGACCATTTTTGGCAGAAAAATCTAATAACAGATTTTTCCTCAAGTTTTCCCCTCTTGAACTTGAGAATGTGAAGCTGTTAATATTCAGCCTCGTGTCTGTGGTGCGTCATTTATTCACCATTTCTTTGACATATAACCCCAAGTATCTCAGATCAGCCCAGCATGGGTAAAAAAAAATCTGCTCACATGGTGTTTCATAGGTCGAAACTCTGTATTCAAAGGGGGTGGACCATGTGTGCACGTATATGCAAATGGTCTCGAAAGAAGCCCAGCCATCATCCCTCTTCTCTGACTGTCTTACTGACACAAATTCTCACTGTCTCATCCTATTTTTAGTCCAAACAGCTCGTAGTTTCATCCCCTGTAACCTATTTTTTTCTGTCTGTAAGCATACTGTTAATTGATTGAGAGGTTTTGTAGAGTTTCAGGTTTGGATGTCATGTCTCATTTTTCACAGAATGGCTGGAGAAGCTGTTTAGATTGGTGCCCAGAGATAGAAATACAGACCTGAGAAAGATCCCACTCAGTTTATCCACACTATTATTTGCAGACACACGTTTTTACAAATTTGAGCTCCCAGCAAACACTGTCACATTGAAATCGGAGAGTTAGAGAGTCTACAATTTCACACCATTATCTGTGTGATATTAGATTCTAGCGGTGATACCAAAAGTGAATGCAGCTAAAATATTGCAAATGAGCAATCTCAGGGTTTGTTGTTGATTTGGCTCCCCATTGATGGTTACCTTGGCAACAAGAGGCAACTAGAGACAATTAAAAGCCATCTTTTTGAAAGGCTGGTTTGATAGTTTCTGGAGTAGTTTCTACTCTTCTTATTAGGACTCCGATGATAAGAGAGATACTACTTTAACGTCTGCTAGTCCACAGTCGAACCCAAGACCAGCCAAGCTTGGCACAAACATTAAAGGAAGGTAAAACTACAAAGTAAACAGTCACATTTGGACGATTTTGTAGCTGTCTTGTTTCCAGCAGCAGGGGTGTCTCTGTATTTTTTTGACTTTGGTGGCCCAACCCACTGACTTAGCCATTACAATTGAAGTCCTACCTCTTACTGAGCAGATGACAAATATATTTCATGGCTTGGCAATTCTGACTAAACAAAGGGGTCCATGCAAACCTGGGCCACCCCTCCACATTGTATTGTTATTGGCAAAAGCCTAATAAATGTAACCCTATAGTGGCAGACCCACAGGTAACAACCACCACCTCTGAAGCTTCACCAAGCTGTTTCAGTCCCTTTTTCAGCCTCGAGTTTAGATTTTACGTAGACATTGGAAGGACAGTCTAGTCTTGGTGATTTAACAGCAGGCAGCTTTTTTCCGCAAAATCTTAACTACTTGTGTAGCATCAAGTAGCAGACAGGTTTTAAATGAAGATGAACAAACAGTAGTTGGCATAAGAGAGATTTTTTTTGTTTGTTTTTTGAGTTAGAGAAAACCAAAGATGATAAAATGGTAAAATGATCTGCAACGTTGGGCACCTCTGGTCAAGGGCCTCTCTTTTAAAAAAAGTCATCATTTACATTACCAGCTGTATTTATTGCCTCTAAAGTTATCTGCTTGCTTGTCTCTTAAATTTGAGAAAACTAACCCCATAGTTTTAGTCTACTTTCCTTATTTTGTGCAACGATAAGCAGATAACTAAGCTAAAAGTTAATAGATGTGTCAGCTTGCTAGCCAGTATGACACAATATTGTACAGGTAGAGCCACGTAAATGCAAGCAGTGTCGCCAACAGAGCGACTTTTTGCTCGTCTTTTAGTTAAATGTAAGATTTAGTGTGTTTTCTATTTCGACAAGTTTTTGTTTGCTAGCTAGCATAACGTGAGAGGCGTTTGCTACTGAGTCTCCTTGCTTAGTGGTTCTGTCTTTGTGCAAAGCTTGGCTAGCAACAGCTCGGGCAGAGATAGAGAGGAGCTGATTTTCTTTTTTCAAACCTGAGTGAATATTCTGTTAACGTTACAGCCTTCAGGTCGTCTTCCATCATATTATGAATGTATCTGCTGAGAAGTATCTCTGTTTTATTCATACAAACTGCTGCATGAGTTTCATATTCTCCAAAGGGGCCTTTTTTTTTTTTTTTTTTGACACACACTCAGTATTTCAGAGTGGAAAGCGCTGGCTTATTGTGTATGGACGGCCACAACCGAGAGGAAAAGATGAGTTTTTTCTCAAATTTATCTGCACCAGTTGGGACACACTCTCAGACAGAGGGGAGAGACAAACAGACACACACACACACTCGCACACACACACACACAGTGAGAACAGGCACACCCACGTTTTTTTCCACTCTTGTTCCTTCTGTCTCCCTCCATCCCCTCTTTCACTCCATCACACACACACACACACAAATGTGCACATGCGCACACACACGCACACTCACACACACAAGCTCGGCTGGCATGCACTAATGGAAAGCCATGGTCTGGCAGGACTCATCCCGCCACTTTCGACAGTAATTGGCCGTTTGCTGTCAGACGGACCGAGACACACACATGTGTACCCACACATACACACACATACACAAACAAACAACAAGATTTGTGTGCGTCATTTATCTTCCCTGTCTGTCGCTGCATCATGCTCCTGGTCTTTGTTTCCTCGGACAGGCTTCTTTAATCAGCTGCTTTGCATCATGGCTAAACACGTGGAAAACAGACTCTCTCTCTCTCTCTCTCTCTCTCCCTCTCTCTCTCTTGCTCTCCCTCTCTCCCTTGTCTATCAGCCTTGTTGCCTCTGACAGCACTAGCCCATGTTCTGCATATAATTGCCGCATCTTTGCAGGTTTGGAATGACGTGATGGGCTTTAGGGATTTGTGTGTGTTTGTGTGGAGTGTCCAGGGATAAAGTGGCAAACCCAGACTTCCCAATTAGATGTAATCCATTTATTTCAAAGCACAGCCATGCCAAAGTGGGATAAGTTAGAGAGGAAAATAAAACTAAGGCTGCATTGAGGTGAAAACTGATGCAATGGTCCGTCCAGGTTTTATGCTGTGGTTTACTGGATATGGATCTGCATTTAGAGACTCAACCCTGCATGCAGCTCTTTTGCTTTAAACTGTCTGATTCTCTCACCGCCTCCCTCTCGTCTTGTCTCCTAATTTGTGTGCTCGGTGTGTCTGTAGATCTTTTCAAGCTGATTGATTTATTTGCTGCGGGGTCGTTACAGCACGATGCTTCCAACCGGCTCCGTGTTACTGATACACAGAGTCTCCATTAGGCCCTGCAAGTCTGCAGCACACAGCCCTGCATCTCTCTCAGGAGTGTATTCTGTCAGTGTTGGACACACAACAGTTTATGACAGATGCAGCTTTAACAGTTTTAAGACTATCCCTTGTAGCACTTCAGTATTACAAAACAAAAAAGAAAAAAAAAGAAAGAAAATCTCTCAGTTTCAACAGATTTGTGCACTTAGTTGACTAATTTATTCTCATTTTATATTTATATTTGATCCATTGATCAAAAAATGGCTTCAAAATTGTATGTGGACTGTGTATATCAGTTTAACGCAGCCTTGAATAACAAGCACAGGCATGTATTAACCTGCAAGATAGACTGAAGGCTGGTGGAGCTCACTCTGCTAAATGTTTGCCCATCTCGAAACCAAACCCAGACTCAGTCTTTTTCATCTTTAGACCAGTTGGTGAGTGAGGATTTAAACTTGCCTTTTTTAAAAGCCCCTATAAGGAACTTTCTTTCTGTGTTGATTTTGGTGCCCCGTGTGGAACCATCTGTTACTGCTGATTTCATCTTGCTTTGTTAAAGTAGTGCCAGTTGACAAATAATCTCTTCCTGTTGCCGTTTAAAGTAAAATTTATCACTCACTGTAAATATTTACTGCTGGTAATCGTAACAAAGGCTGTTTCTTTAGAGTTCACCACAATAACAGACATTAAAAATTACAATATGGAAATTGTCAGTCTTGTTGTTTATGATCTCTTATGCCATTGGACATTATAGAGATGCATCACTGTTCATTTTAGTCTATTTCATTAACCTCCAAAAACTCCTCACAGTTGCTTTAAATTCTGTTGAAAGCCCAAACACATCCACAGTGTAGGCTTCAGGAGTTAAATACATTAACATTTAGGACTCTGTTTCTCCTAAATTTGTCTCAACAGGCCCTAGTCTTCCAGGTTGCTTAATTCATCCATTAAAATATTTATTAGCAGTCTTAATGATTGCACTACACCGATATTAAACCTTAAATGACACACTAAACTGGATGGAAATACACATAAGAAGCTTGATGGTAAGTTATTAGGGTAAATACAAGCAAGGCTGCAGTCTGAAAAGGGATGTGGGTTCAAATACCACCATTGCCACCACTTATGAGACACTGCAGCCGGAGGGTTTTTGGTTTTTGTTTTTTTAATCTAAATAGACTAAACAACAAAATATGGACAAATAAGAATAAGAAACTAATAATGACTAAACTCACAGCAGCATAAAACCTTTTGACTGTGTCTGGAAATTTTCCACCTGATTCCCACAGACACTTAAATATATGAATGTATACGTTCTTCAGTTTTCAAAACCAGTTGTCCTCTTTGGGTTTTGTTGGTCTGATGGTTACACTGCTTGACACTGCCCCAGTGATAATGACCAGTACTGTAATATTTGGTCCGGTAATGTAATATCCAACGTAAGGCATTTCTGAGCCTGTCCTCTTTTAAAATTATGTTGCAAAGTGCAAAAGGCTTTGAGATATTTTAAGAAAATACTGCTTTAAGTTCACTACATTCACAACAACAATCAGTTCAAATCCATTTGGACGTGAATTCTGTCTCGTAATATAGAAATGCCATTTTTTTATAAAGGTTAAATGGATGTCAATGAAACTGGGTTTAAGCAACTATTTAAGCATGAGGAATAACAGCACGTTCCCCCCATTATAAGAGAACCACGATGTTGACCTTAACAGTCATAAGAAACTAAACTGAGCAGCATCTGGTCCATTATTTCCATTTTCTCTTGTTTCATCTCTAACCTGTTAACCTACTGAAAGACCGCTTCATGTGCTGTGTATCCTCTATGTCTCTCTCCCTGTTTTTTTCTCTCTCTCTTCTTCAGTGGCTTGAGGCTGGCCCTGGGAAGTTTGACAAGATAACGAATTGCCATGCATGCTGCAGTTTTTCACATTTCACAGCCCAGTAACTCTGTATGTAGGAGCGTGGGGTGGATGGATGGAGGGGATGGGGGGATGATGGTTAGAGAAAGAGGAGGAGAAGATGAGGGGAAAACAAAAGACACGAGCAGAGGTTAAAGGAAGAAATGCAGGTGGAAGTTAGTCAGGAAAGAGGAGACTTTTTTTGTCTTTATTTCTCAACTCTGTCCTTTTTTTTGTCTCTGCTGCCATTCTTCCTGTTACCACATGCACTCGTGCACTTAGGCAGACTCACACTCACACACTCTGAGTTATGTAATTGTCTGTGGTGCACAGCTGCTTCCTCATAGTCACAGCGGACAGAAAGAGAGGAAGACGTGTGAGAAAAACAAAGGAACAGAGAGAAAAGGAGGAAAGAGGCAAGAGGAAAGTGAAAGAGCGACAAAGAGAACGACATGGAAGAAAAAAAGATGAAAACAGGAAGGAATTATGTAAAACTTCAAATGTCAAAAATATCCTAATAAATGTCAAATATAGATAGTACTTAAGATATTTCCTGAATACATCAAGCAAAACCTCAGCCAGTGCAGTTACTTATGTAATACGTGGGAAAAACGTAATAGAACTGGAAGTGAGAAGTATTTAATAACCAGATTTAAAAAAAGAAAACTAAAAAATAGATTTCTTCTTCTAAGCTAGCTCAGAAAAAGCACAATATGCTCATTCTAGTTCAATATCCAGTAACTTTATTTGTATCATCTGTCTTTTTAGGCCTGTTGACTCCTGGTTTTGCTCAGTAAATAGTGTTGAAGCCTCTGCTAAGGTGTCATCACCTGTAAGGACTGTTATCACTGCCCATCAGCTCTAAACTGAATTACCGTAATAACTATAATATGGGTTGCCATAAAGTTGACCTCGGTGATCTTGTGACTTTTCTCAGAATCTTAGCAGGAGGTCGTAGCTTCATTTGTCTGAAACTGAGGACTTACTGCAGATTTTTCAACAAAGCAAAAAAGTAATACTCCTTTATCCTGATTGGCTGGCTGCAATGATCTTAACAAACTGTTGTCTTGCACTACAGCAAAGGCAGCTTAATTGTTTAAAAGTCAACTAAGAGTTACTATGAGTGAGTTCAAGTGAACGGAGCGGTCTAAGCAAACAATGAGCAAACTATGAAATATGGAGATGTTTAACACATGATGCAGAAATCAACTCAGCTTTATTTAAAAATGACTGAAAAAAAATGTTCAAAGTGCAAATGAAAACTTTTTATGTTACTTCTCCGTCATCAGTGTGTAAAAGATCCAACAACACTAACATGGGTCTATTCCCTGCCGCTTATCTGTTGTTGTGATTTATTCTTTTGACCTGAATGACAGTTAAAGACTTGATATTTCAGTGTTAGCCTTGACTGTACCAAATGGAGAAGTATGGACATGAAAATTAAAATTAAAACTGTATGTCAGTAAGTGACAAGCATGCACAATTTTAACGAGCATTTCTGACGTTCGTTTTAAGTATGATATCAGGAAAGCACTATTTCACATGTTAAAAAATACTGGTAGACTTAGGGATCCTGTCAGTTTCCCTTCCTCCATCCTCGGCAGAGTTTCCTACAAACCGCTTTCTTTTCCCGAAAATAATCTGACTCAGATCAGGTTCAGTCTGTTTCATAACCCATTAAAAATGTCTTAGAGGAGCTTTAACATATTTCCCCAAGCAATATCAATCAGTATTATAACCTTACTATCATTTACTCTATCTTTGATTTCACCTACCAAACTTTTTAAATGTCTCTTTTTGTAGCTGGAAGAAAATGACTGAAATCAACTCCATGAATTAAAACTTCATAGCTGCTTTGTTGTTTTCTCACTTTTCTGTAACTTCACTCAGACTAAACCCACCAGGACCTGTCTGTACTGTCTTTATGTGTCAGCTGTGATTGACTGGCAGCCTGCGCAGGGTGACCTGCCTCATGCCCAGTGCATGCTGGGAGTGGCTACAACCTGCTGCGACTGACAGGACAATCTTTATAGAAATAAATGGACCCAAGTCTAAAGTATGATTGATAAGCACTTAGTTATGGAGCATGTTATAAGCACTCTAATGTCAACATTTTCTTAGCTATAATCAGATGATAAATGATGCTTTCCATTCAATTTTTTAAGAACTAAAGAAGTGAAAACATCAAAGCTGTAAAAGATCCAAGATGAGTAAAAACAGAAGCCCAAAGTAGAGTCTTCACTTTTTACAGTGTGGAAACTGGTGCCAATATTTTCCTCCTTATGAGCCGCTCTAATCACTGCATTCATTCATTTTCTTTTTTATCGTTCCCCCAAACACACACACAGTTATTGTTCTTTCCTCATAATTTGAAACCACTCGAGTTGAACTCATACACTCACACGCACACACACACACAAACACACGCACACACTCTCACCCCAGAGTCCATAATTCAGTAAGTGAATAAGGCGTTCAGTCTACGGTGGCAGAGATTAGATAAGAAAGTGAGCAGTCAGGCTGCTGCGGCAGGAAAGCAGAACAAATGAACTGCACTGGTGATGGAGAGAGAGCGTTTACTGTGAAAACCATCGGCCTGATCTTTCAAGATGAGTGCTTCTCTATAGAGGGCAGCTCTCCAGCACTATTCACCACAGAGCCTGATTACTACAGTTTACAAGGAGATTTAGCCATTCATCTCTCCATGCCTGCAGCATGCTCTGGATATCTGCTTTTGTGGTGTGAATCATCTTATTGTTTGTCATGTGTTGCTTATATATATTGATTTTTCTGTATTTATTAGAGTCTAACGTTCCGGGAAATGGGCTTGTTTGCCGTGTGATCTGCTGTCAGATGAGGAAATGTGCATCAGTTTCTACTCTGAGGCTTCAGTAGAAGCAGGTGTAAATCTGAGCGAAGAGAGAAAACTACTACAAGAAAAGAGCAGATTCCACTAACTAAGGGAAATATACTTTATATGATGGTTAATAGACTGTGTTTATGTAGCACTTTCTCTAGTCTTCTGACCACTCGAGGCACATTTACATCACATGTCACATTTGCCCATTAACACCAATTCTACACCTAGGAAGTTAATAACCATATTTAAAGCCACTGTAAGAAATTTTGCTAACACCTTACTTGACGCCTATCTCTATAACGCATGTATTATGCGTTATAATCATGTTATAGCATTGTATAACTAGCTATAAACACTCATAAATGATCGTAGTGCTTTATAGCAATAATCATGACACATTATAAAACATTTTATCATGACTTACAAGGTCAGGTATTATTATGTGTTATAACTGTTAACAACTCACTGACAATGCCCACATAGATAATGCATTATACATATATTTGTGATGTTATAATTTGCTTCTAAACTTGTATAACTATCATTATAAACACACATTATTTATCATAAGGTTTTAAAACAATAAGCACAACACATAGCTTTACAGTGCTATAATGTGATCATAATGCATTGTACATATATTTATAGTGAGTTATAGAGATAGACTTCAAGTAAAGTGTTACCAAAATCTTATCTTATCTTTAAACGTTCTCAAATTGATAATGCTGCTTCTTTTTGACACGAGAGTAACCGTCAGGAACAAGACTGACAATTTCTATCTTGTAATTGGTAATGCCTAAAACTACCACGTCAGACACGCATGCCATTTTTAAAATTAAAAATGAATTTTTTAATAGTATTCACGATTAGCAATACATGCATGTACTGCTTTGTCTTGACACAAAGTTCCTCATAGGAGCTGTAATTCAAGCCATGTTTGTAGTTCGATAAGGCCATTTATTTGGATAACTGTCTTTGTGCTTATGTACAATGACCAGGTGAGAAAACTCAGCCATTACCTTTTACACATCGAACTCTTCAGCTTGCCCTCTCGCCCTGCTTTCTCCACTTTGCAGTCTACCTCTTTTTATGTTAGGGTCTGGTTTTAGCAGTGTCACATGTTTTGTCTGTGATGCCTGTTCTGCTCTGTTACTTCAGGTCTTCAGTCACGCTCTTCCTGCCTTGGTTTTAGCATTCTGCGTTCACATGCGAGGACAGTTAATGCTGTTTTTCTTGAAAATAACCAAAAAGTTCACCACTTTCCAACAGTAAGACATTACATTTATGTGCTTTATGCCCCTTTTCTACAAGATTATGAACACAATAATAAACGTACCCTCAGTTCATTTTATTGTGTATGTCACTCCTCTATTTTCTAATCTCAGACCAGGTTTCTGCTCAAACACTTTTTTTGGGAAGTTATTTCGGAAAAGAACAGCCGGGAGGGTTTGATTTGAGTCCTTTTTATTAAGAGAAATCCTCCCGGTGATGGCAGGCGGAGCTGTGTTGACACACACACACACACTCACAGACAATCACACACACACACAGGTGTGCTGTGCAGTGTGTGTGTGCGTCTCTACATCCTGCTGAGCCAGTGTTTGCAGACCGATTGGCTCAGGGATAAAGCCTTGTGACCTGGAATCTTTCCAACCCTCTCCCTGCTCTCTGTCTTTCTCTCTCCCTCTGTCTGTCTTTTCTTCTCCACCCTCCTCCTCCTCCTCTCCCCCTCCGTGCTCCCCCTCATGTCTGCCCCCCAAACATCCTTTTGTTTGTGCACGTTTTTGAATTTGCACAGTTGAAAAACACTGAATAAAAGACAGGAATGTGAAAAAGGCTAAATATAGCCAAAGTTTGCTTCTTGTGGTCTGAGTCAGCAGAGAGAAGAAGAAATAACGGCTGATGTGAACACATTTTCCAAATAAACAATGACTTAGTGGGACCTGCTTCCTCTTATTTTCTGTTTTCTTCTTCTCCTTTTTTTTCCCGCCACTGAAGGAACTTTCCAGAACTCCTCCAAATATAAAGAATAAAACAGATGCGGTCGAAAAAATATTTAAAAAACTCATAAAATTAACATAAATATCACTTTAACACACAAACATGTTTTAAAAGCATGATAAGACTGTATATCCTCTTTGTTTTTCCAGTTAACGCTCTTATTTTTTAACTCTGCAGACTTTTATTTTGTAAATTTGTTTAATATCTCCACATCTGGACGGAAACACGCCTTCTTCCTGTCTCTTTAGTTCTCAGGTCCTGCAAGAACCAACATCCACCCGAGCAAACACACACACACCCACACAGAAGTCACATGTACAGTGAGTGTGTGTGTGTGTTTGGGTAATGACATCATTCATAGTGTGCAGAGGATGTTGACAGTAGCAGAGGAAGCGTGTGTGTATGTGTGTGTATATGTGTGTAGCCTTGTTAGGCCTACAGTTGGCAGTTCACCTCCTGGGATACACACACAAAAACACAAACACATGCAAACACACTCGCTGCTGGTTTCCATGAAGATCCAGTCGACAGCAGAATTAGACTGTTTTCAGTTTCAGAGTTTGGTTCGATCAGGTTTAGTTTCTTTACAAAGACCTCAAAGTTTGCATTAATGTCTGACACCTTCTGCCTGCCAGTGGTTTCAGATTTTAATATAAAACTTGATTGAAAAAGTCATTCTTATTGAAGGTATTGTTTGCTTATGTATATCACAAAGAGCATTAATATCAATATCAGTGCATTTTATAACTTCATAATCAAAAATTCACTGTCAAGATGGCATTTAATTACATTTTTTTGCGGATTTGCCCTTTAGAGTGGATCTAGGCATTAGAAAACAATAGTGGCCTTTATTACTCGTCTGTTTCATAACCATCTAAAGCCGCTGACATAGAGCTTCATATGACATGTTATTGTTTTATTCCTGCTTGCTTAAAAGTCAAAAAGATCATCATGCATTGACCAGAAAACCTGTCATTTGTTTGTTTAACCACTGTTGTGGTTAGATAAGCTGTGGTCTAAACTCTTTGTGTCTATTAAGGGGAATTTTTTTGGCAAGTTCACCACGGATGTTTATTAATGCGTAGATGGTAAACAGAGATAATGAGAAGAGAAGGATCTTTGGTGCATGCTCTATTGAATAAGATAGCTAAGCAGTTCTGCCAGTGCTTGAATATACCAGCATACAGCACTACAAACCTAATTCTTATACATTATTTAAGGTTGAAGGTTGAAGTGTTCTCTTTAATTGGAATTTCTTTTTGCAGAATTATGCATTTTGTTGAGTGTATGTGAGATTTGCTCAGTCTGTCTGTCAAATTTACGTCAGATAAAGTGTGAGACAAAAACTCATCCTGATGCTGTTTTGATACTGAATAAGAGCCGCGGGGTTTTATTAATCCAGAGTGTAAACTGATGGCACAGTTATTATCTTGTCATCACGGCACAGAGCTTAAATGTCAATATGCAATAATGTTGAACTGTTGCCTCAGAGCCTCAGTGAGGAGTGTCTGCATGAAACCAGCTCCTGCAAGACTTTCATTAGAGATGTCACATCGTCTCAGGGCATTTGAGCGTAGTACACTGTGTATGAGTGTAAAACTGTGTGCGTGTGTGTGTGTGTGTGTGTGTGTGTGTGGGAGATGTCAGTGTTGAGACAGAACAAGAGACAGAGTTGCAGCGAGGACGGAGCGTGCCAGCGTTCCGGTGCGCCTTTCTGCATGAATGCATGGGGTGTGTGTGTGTTTGTGTGGGTGTGTGTGGGTGCAGAGCGGGACACAGTAAATGGGTCAGATGCAGCGGAGGAGGATGACCTTGGGAATTTGTCCTGTTTTTCTTCCCTGCAGACGCAGTTCTTTGTCTCAGATATGGAGAGAGAGAAAGAAACACTGACAGCAGAAAAAAAGGGTCTAGTTTTACATTTTTATAGACAGGAGGGTCTTTCTGCTGTCTTTTCTCACACTTTCAGGGTCTATACAGGATGTTGCATAAAGATGTCCCACCAGGTTTAAGTTTTGGAGTGCTAGTATTATCATAGAGTAGTTTTTTTCCATGAGTTGGTCTCAGGTGAGTTGATGTTCTTTGTGATGCTCTGTCCTTCCACTGCAGTCACACCAGTTCACTGTCAACAGGTATGAAGAGAGAAGACATTAGAGTGCTTTTGTTGGACTTTTTCCAATGGCACCATCTTTGTCCTGCATGTGCCAGAAGATTTTTTTTTTCTTTTTTTAAATATTTATTGCATTTACAGACATCAAAAACTACAAAGAGGAAGTTTAAATCAACTTCATATTTGTCTTGTATGCTTCTTTAGCTCTGATAGAGACTTTGATAGTTGTGTCAGTCTGTTTCAGAACCAACTTAAACCTCCACACAGGAGCTTTAAAAGCTTTTGAAAAACTTAAACAAGTAGACAATCATGTTACACTTATTTTCCATTTTTTCATGTTAAATTTGAAACTGTTCTATGAATCTTAGAGTCAGCCCTTAGAAATAAAGATGTTAAATTTTAGCAAACTTATTTTGACCTCAGTCTTTAGAGGGATATTCTGGTGTAAAATTAAATTAATTAAGTAACACGGAGTTAGACACCCCCTCAAGAGATGAATGTAGCCGACCGCTTGCTTCGCTAGTTATACCAACATTAGTAACGACCGCGGTCTCAGAAGCCACATGCTCAACCAAAACGCCACTCTATAGCCACAAATAATGCTCAGAACAGCACCTAACTTCATCAACAGTACATATAGGGTCCTAACCATAGTACTAGCCACCAAACATCTTTTTAGCTTTGCCTAATTTCTTTAGCAAAGAGACTAAACACAACTCACCCACTCTCCTCTGGGAGCCTCTTGTTTATACGGAGACCTCTGGGCAAGTCCATCAACTGCAGAGGGGGGACGCAGCTCAAGGAAGAACATTTATGATCATTTCTTCATGGACATGCAATCAGACTGAGACACTATGGCAGAAGAACAACCGTGTCTGCAGTGCAAACTGATGAATATGATGATTATTACTTCAAGTAATGTCAAACTTGGTGTTGCTGTGTGTTTGATCCTAACTGAATTTTACACCGGAATATCCCTTTAAGAGTTAGACTTAATAATAAATGAGTAAAATAAAACTAAAATGTGAGTTAGGAGAACCTCTTCCATGGTAAATGGAATAAATAATAATGGTTGTCCTGGCAGAAGTCTGACACCTTCCTAACATCTATCATATTGAAACCATCAGTTTTGTTGCCAATGGTCTTATTTGCTTTTATAGGTCATAAAGACACATCAGCATAAATTTCTGTTTCATTACCAGGGAAAAATCTCCACTCATGAGCTTTTAAGGACAAAACAAACACGGTCCAGAGTTAAACCAGGGTGTGCGGGGTTGTCCAGGTTCAACCTCATTTGATCGCACCTCTTTTTAGCAGCTGTCTTTGATCTCATCGCATTAGTATGTTTTTCAATGTCGAACACAAGCTTCTCTTCTCTCTCTGCGCTCTTTCTGCCTTCAAACCATAACTCCTCACATACTCGGGTTAAAAGCAAACTGTGAGTACGTGAGTTCAGATTTCTTTGCGCTCAGCTTCATTAGCTGCTGCTGCTGTCGGGTTTACTTTTAAGTTTCCTGACACTCTGATTGGCTGAGTCCACCTGATGTGATCTGTGGATATCAAACAGACGTGAAAACAGCTGTGGGGCCTCCAATGTTTAATGTGTGAGTCACTAAGTGAATCCACATTATGTCATTACCTCTGATGTGTTTCCTGCTGCGGCTTTTAGTCATCTGACTCTGAGTTTTGGAGAGGAGGAAAGTTCAGAGGTAAAATAAACCTGATTGGATCATCAGTTTTACTAAGAAGGAGCCCCTCCTGTCCAAATATTTTCTCCTTAAAGTCTTCCAGGCTGTCTTTACTGCTCCCCTTTGTCCACCTAAATTGATCCAGTCAATCATCATGCTCTTTAATGTCTGCGTTTTGGCTCATTAGGTCTCAGTTTTTCACTATTTGTCATATTTTGTGAGTATTTCCAAATCAGGCCAGCTGTGTGCGTCTTCATGTGGACAAATGGTTGTGGTGTCTAGCCCAGCAGTGCCATCCCCGCCTGCTATACTGGGGTATGTGGGTCGTCGTCTATTTTCATCCACAATGTTGCCGGCAGTACCTGAGGGAATAGACAAGTGCTGCAATGTGTGTGTGTGAAAACATATGCCTGTGGACCTAAACTACATCACAACGGACATGAACGGAGACCAAACAGAGACAGAGATTTAGGAGTGTGTCCGCAGTAGTACAAGTTGATTTGGAAATGTGTCAAACCTGGTTTTCATTTCCTGAAAGTCTTCAGGTGTGGAGCGACTAATGGTTTATCCTCTTTCTTTATTTTTCTGTGCTTTCTCCCTCTTGTCTGGTAATAAACTGATGGTTGGTCTGGACACACTCAGCTCAGTTTTGGCAGCTCCATTCTGCTGCCCTGTAGCTCTTGTTGTGCGCAGCAGTGAAGCCTTCCTGCAGTATGCTTTTGTTTTTCTTAGATATTGCGTTTACTGTTATTTTTATAGCTACATGTGTCACAGATGAGCACAAGTCACTTTTGCAAGTCAAAGTCAAGTCTGAAGTCTTTTAGATGAAACTCACCAGCACCTCAAATCACACAACTTGTGTGTTGGATGTTTTATTATATCAACAGGTGTGTGTGGCAAAGATTCCAGCGATGTGAGACAGTTAATTTTAATATGGGAGGAGGCGTCCTCAATCAACATAAACATATATGTTTAGATAGACTTTATTATTTACTGGTGAAGCATAAAAAAGCTACTGTGGTTCAATAGAAAATGGAAATAAGTGGTGTCACCCACTGTGTTGTTGTGTTGGTTTATTGTTGTCCTAGTCCCTGTTACAGCATGAGACCAGCGTGTCCACAGAGAGTTCAGCTGTGCGCCTCCAGCAAAGACAAGACCACGCTTTTCACATTTATGCACATTAGTGTGGACATGACCTCCACTTCCAGCCGGATGAAATGCAAACTCCACTTTGATGCCAATTGTAGACAAAATTTGTGTGTGTGTGAGTGTGTGTGTGTCTGGGGAAGAGGGGCGAGCCAGCTGAATTATTTAGGGATGAACTGCAGGACACAGCAAAGTGGAGAAATAGAGGGTGTTCCTCTTTTCCCCCCAAGACAACTTTCTAATGCAGAGAGGGCGTCATCAGGCCGGTGTGGAAACACACGCACGTGCACAAAGTCAAAATCACACACACATTAGCACACACACACACACACACACACACAAACAGAGAGGCATGCATGAGTCATGCGTCCACCCGCTCTGCTTTTCAGCAAGGCCAGGAGATCAGTGGCTTCCTCAAAATACAAAAAGGCCTCTGGAGGTGAAGACGAGACAGAGAGACCCTGGTGAGTGGAAAAAAAAAAGGTGTGATGACAGTAGAAAGCTCCCTGGAGTCATGCACACACACACGACAAACACAATCTTATTCATCCATCCTTATGAGGACCTTTCCTTGACTAGAGCATACACAACAGTGCATTTTTGACTGAGCAGAGATTCAGATTTAAAGTTCCTATGAGAAGTTTTTATTTATTTATTTATTTTTAAATTTTTGAAATACACTTGAAATCATATTGATGCTTTTTCATGATATCAAAAAGGAAAACAAGATCATTCGTGACAAGACTGAAGCTTTATATCCTAATTTTAACAGCTGAGGGGGTAGGTGTCAGGCTCATGTGTGAAAACAGTTTTGGAATTTCCCCCCGTGGGACTATTAAAGGAATATCTTATCTTAGCACAGCCCTACTTTTAAAATTTCCAAGACATGATGCCATACAAAGGTGAAGCAATGATCTTTGGGAACTTTTGAATGTTATATTGTCTCATATCACATTGAGCTATCAGCATTTCTTTTGAGTTTAAAGCATGTTTCAGTGCTAACTAGAGGTGTTTCATCCAGCTGCAGTGGCAATAGCCAGTGTTTTTTCTTTTTGAAACCAATATGCAACTGAGCAGACAGACAGTAGAGATATTTCCACGACATTACCCTATCTTTAGATATAAAGCCAGCCGAATGTTAGAGTCAACGCAAAAAGATTTTACAGACCGGTAAAGCTGGCAGATATCTGACCATGTGTTCTTGTTTGTTTTTCTCAAGAAGAACAATTGCGCAGAAAAACTGGAAACTAGGAGTCTGATTTTTTTTTCTTTTCAGACTCTTGATCCTGCACTTCTACATTTAATAATCGAGCCTCATATTATATGACTATGTGTCCACAGAGATTACTTTTATGGGCCTGCCTTGGTCTCCAAGGACCTACACTCAAGTGTCCATTTTTACAGCAGTATTAAACATTTTTACAGCCGGGTACAAAAACACTTGGGTCTTAATGGCTGATTTCTTAATTGTAGACTAAGTGTTATAGAGAATTGCATATTTAGGCTGTGTTAACTCTCGGGTACAGGTGGAGGCATTGTAACCATTTGCCGGGATTCTCAAGACCCACTTTGGCTCCAACTTTTGGCCTGTGACTACATCGAATTGAAGTTGGGTTTCATCAACATTTTCTATTTGGTGACCACCATCTTTTGGCGCTGAGATGCCCTTATGTTTTAAACAGGACCTTGATGACTGTTAAGAACTAAAAAGGCACATTGAAACAACAAGACAATTCAAGTGCTTCGCCTAAGACTCTAAAAGAATAATGACATAAGGATGACATTATAAAAAATGTGAACAAAGACAATAAGGAGAATATTTTATTAGGTTGGTCTCTGCATTTCTCTACTAAGAAGAAATAAAGAAGATTGTAGAAAAAAGAGAGGAAGAAATAAACAGAACTAGTAGATTCAGTCCCTCAAACAAAATAGTTTCATTAAAAAACCATCTCTAAAACCAAAGAACTGTATGAGAATAAAGAGAGACTCTTTAGTTCCCTAAATTCAGATTCTATTGTGTTTCAGAGGCCTGAACAGAGATCAGTCACAGTGTTGAAGGGAACAATCGTGAATACATGTACGTGGAGGACGTGTTGCTTTGTTTTCTGGATTTTAAGGGAGCATAAACTCATAAAAATGGACATGTGTTACATTTTTCAGCGCAATTATGGTTTTTTTTGTAGCCTGGTGGTGGATTTTGGTCTGTTCAGACTTTGATTTTTTATGTTTAGGGAGATCAGTTCAGCTTATTTTCACTCCAAACAACACAAAGAAGATCAGAAACAGGCACACAGCTTCTGAAACTGTCTGACATTGTATTACTGATTGCATGTTTCTGTGCTGAATATAATGAGTTAATTAATAATCCTGATATGATTTGTCTCCCTTTGATAAATTTTCGTCGGTCTATTAGAGACGATGCCATGAATTAATTTAAACGAGTGGAACATAAAGGAAGGGATCAGCTGCTGCTCTGTCTTAATGGATTGACCCTTTCTATATAGAGTGTGTGTGTGTGTCTGTGTGTGTGTGATGGGGGTTGAAGGGGGGCTGATGTGAGGGATGAGGTCATGGTGTAGTGTGAGCATGCGTGACTCTGTGTGTGTGTTAAACAAAGACATTTGGGAGAGTGTCTTAGTGTGTGTATGTATAAGTGATGACTTCATTCGTTATGCATTTATTTATGATCAGTGTTACGCCTCAGGCAGACTGTGTGTGGGTCTGAGTGTGAGTGTGTGTGTGTGTGTGTGTGTGTGTGTGTGTGGGTGGGGGGGTATTTCTCACCTTAAAGGAAAAAGACAGAAAAGAGAATTTAATTTTCTGCTCTGTTGCAGTGATTTTTGACAGTTGAGTCAGTATCTATGAGTGTATCTGTGGGTAATCTGTTGTTTTTAAATCTTCTGATTGAAAGAAACAGTCTGACATTTTAAAAGGGAAGCTGTAAGACAACCATAGAGTAAAAAAAAAAATCTTAAATATAACTCCAGTATCAGACTAGTTTCCTGATAGATGAAACTATCTGCATATGGTGAACAGAAGCACCACACTATAAGAATGAAGTAAATAAGGGGATGTATTGTCACACTCATTTATGGTATAACATGTAACAATACAAGTTAAATTTAAAGATTTTTTTCCAGAGTATTTTCACGGGTGTTGGTAATTCAGTTTGTGTTCCAGCTTTGCTTCTTGTAATCATGTTTTAATGCTTTGTTTTCATCTTAATGTCATATTTTTATGCTTTATTAAGTGTTTAAGACATTAGCATTCACCCTAAAGTAGACATCATTTTGAGACTGTAGCATCATCCGCGTCATTATCAGCTACATAGTCCACAACGTTGTTCATCATTATGTCGCCCGGCATGTTACTTACCACACTGTTTGCAACATAGTCTGCTAAATAGTTCGCCACATCATTGGCCATAACGTTTGCCAAATTTTTCTTTACTATATTTTCTGATGTTGTTCCTGATTTTTTCTTTACAATATTTTCTGTCTTTGTGGGGTGGGAATCACCAGTGGCCCCACAATACAATATTATCACGATACTTGGGCCAAGATACAATATTATTGCGATTTCTAACATTTTGCAATACAGTGAGTATTGCGATACAATATATTGCCATTTATACAATTTTTCAATTGTTTAGCTAATTTAGCATTTGTCTTTCCTTTATGATTGTCTTATTTACACTATATTTTATTCTCTTGTAGCACTTCTTGCAAATCTTATATACAGTATATATATTTGTTGTACTAACTTTCTCCTGCTCTATGATGTCACCTCTGCCAACCTCACTGGACAAACAGTTGATTTTATTTTTCCATTATCACAGATTTGACTTCATATTAGCAATTAATTTGAAAAAAATGATACTTGGTAAATGAGATGTTACAATATAACAACAAACAAAATATCGCGGTACTATACTGTATCGATTTTTTCTCCTGCCCCTATTATCCTCTACACTGTTTGCTACAATAACATTGTCCACTACATTGTGATCTACCTGTCCATTATGTCCACCTCTCTGTTACTGCCATGATGTTAAGATGTACATTCAGCAAAAAGCATTAGAAAATACCCCCAAACCAGTCCAAATGTATATATAAAGCTTTGGTTAGATTATTTATATTTGTACCAAGTCTAAACACTACAAAAATACTCGTGGTAAAAATAAGGAGCATTATTTTTGACTGACACTCACCTCAGTTTAACCTCAGTCTGTAGAGCATCTAAAGTAAAAGCAGAGCAACATTAATATACTTCCTGTTATATAAGATTGTCATATTTGTATATATTAGTATTCTCGTGAGTTTGCGATGCTTTTTTGTCAACATGAAATGATGTGAAGACTAAAAGTAAAGAGTGTGTTTTCTCTCTGTTGTTGAACATCTTAGAGCAGCATGTGTAGGCCAGGTGATGTTGTGTTAATGAAGCTCTGGTCTGAGTAAGGACACAGATGTGCTCACAGATGTGTTTTCCTGAGTGGAAGGCAGAGACGGTTTTGCATAAAATTTTGGCTCCTCGGTTTTGTTCCCTCTGCAGAGACGCTTTTTTCCCGTAAATGATGAACTGCTCTGAAATCAGTCGAGTGGCCGTGATGAGATAAAGTTAAGTGTTTGAAATTCAGTCCAGCTGAGCAGTAAACTGAGACTCTTCTTCTTGGCTCAAGAGTTGAGTCGAAGCCTCTCTTCAGTGTGTAAACAGTTCACCAAACAGTATCATCACCAGCCGTCAGAGCTGCAGTTTACTCTCTGATTCAAATCAGCTGATCCTCTGCACACTCTTTCTGATATCTCAGCTTTACTTAAGTGCAAAAAAAGCATTAAACAACACCCCGGTATCTTTAGGTCTGTCTTTACATGCTGAAAAATCAGGGTTTCTATCAGAATCACTGAAAACAGACTGCTCCACCCTCTACAATGAAAAAACAAACAACTGGAAGAGGATTTGTTGTGGATCGAAAGGTCGTTTTTTCCTTCCTCTTGTGAAGTCAGACTCAGCTTGGGGAACTTGTAAATCATTATCATGTATTATGATGACTGTGTTTCAGCATTAACTTCAATAATGTGACACACAAAGGCAGTGGATTGTAAGAATCAAGAGAGAGACTGAGCCGTAGTTTTAGTTCAATAACATGTTAGACATCTAATTTGCTAACATCACAGGGTTGCCTCTTAAACCGTAACCTCAGTGGTCTTACCTTCATTGTTAGTCGCATAAATCTGGTAGCAGAATGGGAATCGTTCTTCCTTTAAACATATTTAAAAAATGGAAAATCATTTGTCAAAATTAAATTTTAAAAAGTCGAGCTCAGTGTGAGACTACGATGATGGTTCAGTGTAAAACAAGAGTAAAGGTGAAAGCAAAGCAGTGTACTGAAATCACTGGCTGCACAAGGCGTGTTCCAAATCTCAGCTGGGTTTTTACAACTTCATGTCGTAACTTTTTCCACACTGTTAACCTGCATTTAAAAAAGTTCATTAAAGTATTTGTTCAGTATTAAAATAAACTAAAAATGTGTTTCACTGGAGCGTCTCACTGATCTGCAGCATAACAGTCTTTATCAGGTAGATTGAGGTTGAACTTCTGATGTCATATGTTGTGACAGAGAGGCTTCATGTGAAGCTGAGGACTGACCCACACACACAAACACACAAACTTCAGACACACACACACACAGTGCTATAGTTGTTGATGTACCTCACACAGGGGAAAGGTGACTATCTTCTTCTTCTACTCTATTATTGCTGGGTGACTGCCTCTTACTCTATCATTTTGTGTGTGTCCGTCAGTGTGTGTATGTGTGTGTGTGTGTGTGTGTGTGTGTGTGTGTGTGTGTGTGTGTGTGTTTGCCTCCTTTTGTTCTCCTCCCATCTCTCATCTCGTCTTTGTCTCACTGTTGTTCTGCTGCTTTTCTTCGGCCCCTTCATCGCTGTGAGCAACAAAGATTAGCTTAGCGAGTGCGACACACACACACACACACACACACACACACACACGCTAGAGCACGCACACACACACTCAAGCGTCTTATAACAGGCTGTTAACCCTCGTTTATAAGTGCAGCCTCTGAATCAGCTCGGTGAAAGGGAGTGTAATCCCTGCCGGACGATTTAATGGTAATCTCCATATCCTGATTAGATTACAAATAAACACATTTAAACACATGCACGCACACACACATGCACATGTTGTCTGTGACACTTCCAAAAGCCAAATCAAAACCAGATTTTACTGAAAGTGAGACATATTTTCCTCCTTTTATTCCTCCGGTCTGTATTTATTTAGTTGACTTTTATTTCATCTGTATGCGTGTTTCTGGGTTACTCAGAGTTTTGGATGTTTTTTTTGGTTTTTTTCATCTTCATGATCACACGCAGTCTGCAGATGTCTGCAAACAGACCCACTGATGGTGTCTTTTTATAGCACTTTTGCCTTTATGTTTAGGAAACTGTCAGCAAAGTGACAAGAAACATGTGGAGAGTCTTTGTGGCCGGCAGACGTGTGGAGCGCATCAGTGCCTTTTCCTGTATCTGATGGGTTTATTTTTAGATTTGTTTTAACATTTTAATATTCACCCGCTGAAAAACAGTTTTTAGCTTTGGCAGCTGACACACTTTACATGGACTCGCTGTACTTGAGCTTCAACCCAAATTTCTAATTATACAAAAGATCACTTTAAAACTTTTTTTCCGTGTAGCTTGGCGGCATTATCCGCACACGAAGTATCTGCTTTCAGTTGATTCTTATTTCTTATGGAGCAGACAAAGTAGTAGAGCTCTACTCTAGTTGCTTGTTGGAATAAGCAGGCTGTTATTGTCTACTTGAGAGGTAGTCACATATATTTACATAGAAATGTGGAGGCAGATAACAAACAACCTGTTCTGCATAATTGGGTGCAATAAGAGCTTCTTTGCAAGGCGGCTAAGGGCCTGCCTTGACTCTGCTTCAGAGTTTCCAATATGACGACCAGCAAAATGCAGCTTTACAAACCAGTGTATGAGTTCAGTGAGATTACATTCATTTTTTTATATACTCTATGGAAAGAAATAGTTCCAGTCAGAGTACGCAATAGCTGCACTTCCTCAACTGTTCGCTTGGAGACCCCATTAGAGCCCGTGTTATGTGCCTTTTTATTACAGAAATCACTTTCCAAACTCGTACAAAAATAACGTTTTTGTCTCTACATCTCTTTCCACTGCCTTTGACGTTTGCAATGTGGGTGAAATTTGATCTAACTCACCAGATTTCATCGCATTAAATCTCCTGTGAGGAACTTTTGGTTTATTTTGGATGGAGCGGTTCATGCTGTCTATTTCCTGATTTTGTCCTTTACATACTTTTTTGCTCACTTCTGCTATAGCAACATTTTTATTTTATTATTTAAAACTGGACGAGCTCAGTTGTTTTCTGAGTTGTTTTTGTCTCTAATTGGCTGTCAAGAAGTCTGTTCCCAGACTTACTGCTAAGTGCAGCTCTAGTGTTACTGTATTGATATTTCTGCATTAAGTAGCAGGTATACTGCATTTTTAAAACCCTTCTTGTAAAGTCTTCCAGCATTTGTTATACATTTATTTATTCTTGTCTGCATTGGAAGCAAAAGTGTTGATGGCTTTTCTCTGGAGACGCCACAAGAGACAGCAGTGACAAGAAACTCAGATGACTTTTGCTCTCGTTTCAGGTTGAATTTGTTGTATGCTTGTATATGCACATTATTAATTTATTAGCTTTGATTTTCTTGCAGTGCAGAGAGCAGCCACAAATGTTAGTACTTTTTTCTCCCCAAGCACAACATTGCAAACATCCAAATCTTTAATTGGTGGGTCAAGTCCGTCGTTCAAACTTAACAGATGTGTTTTTATTACTTTAATTCATTTATCTGCTTTATTTATTAAATTTAAGTCCCTCCATCTGTTCCCTATAAAATACACAACCACAAAAGACTGTTCTATTTTAGTGCCGTGACCTCTACCATGGCTCTACAGACACCACTGAGCTGCGAAGACACACACACACACAGACACACACACACACACACTCAACCATCATTAAATGAATGTATTCTTCAGACTGCAGGCTGTCAGCAATACACCAGGAATACATCAGGGGGTAAAAGTCAGCATGTGCGCTGTTGTACACAGTCTGTCCTTTACACACACGCAAGCACACACCCACACACACATATACAGAGCACCATGCAGCTGACATCATATATAAACACCATCATCACGCAGAACATCATTTAACAGCTTGTGGTGTCTGTTTGTGTTCAGACTGATGTGCCGGTGATAAAATCCTGCTTGTTGTTCGGAGGAGAAGCCATTTAAACTAAACGATCGTCACCAACAATAACCCCATTTAACTGCATGAGGAATAGCCGATGAGCGACAGTTCGCCCAATAACTGCTGGGTGAGCTAATGAGCTCTTTGCCAGCGGCGAGATGGAAATAGGAAGTCGAATCTGTAACTGAAGGAGAAGAATTATGCTTCTGTTTTATTTACTCATTGAGAGATTTATTCATCACACCAGCTACAAATTGAAAACTATTAATGTAATTGTGTTTGGTTGCAATACTGAGTGGGTGTGTGAGGCGATAGTTTTTAAATCTTCAGGTTAAAATTTCACTGGATGGCAGGATCATTATTCACCTCTGGAAGGTAAAGTACAATGTGCTGTTCACAATCACCTAAGGATAAACCCCCAAAGGTTTGGTATTGGTCAAATCTTTTGTTACTCTTACTACACTTTTTGGCTGTAGTCTATCAAAAGTTGCTCAGTCTAACTAGATGGTAATTCACACTTCCAACTTGTCAAACTCTTTCCATTCTGATTTAATTGACCTTTTCTCCAGCACGTCAATCTGTGCAAAATCGACCAAATTAGCTGTTTTAAAAACTGTCAGAATAACTAAATAATCTGGCTGTCCTCTTTACAACATGATTATAAAGGACTTGGGCACAGTCTTGTTGTCAGAGGACTGAAGTCAGAGTGCCATAAATCTGTGTCCCTCATAACAGCCTGCAGAGGTTGACTCTAAAAAAGTTTCAAAAGACCAGATCCACAAGTAGGAGTCCCAAAATCACATACTTGTGTTGCTGAAAAGGAAACTACTTACGCCAGGGTTGTAGGGTAGTATTCAAAGTATCTGCCATTAGCTTCAGCCCGGGTTACAAGCAGATAGAACTACAGCTTAGACACAACACTTCACCATTTCATTTTGGCATTTTCAGCCTCTAACAAAAAATCTTAATTATCAGTTTAACTGACTAGTTCTGACAACTACTAGCATGCATTAAAAGACTTTACCATTTTGATGACACATACAGGTAAGCACAAATAGAATTATCCCTTAATTCTTACTATTGTGCTCCAAGTTATAAAACATCCACCATTAATATCAAGAATCCGAAAAGTATAACAATTTTACTGATTTCTGATTGACTAGCCGCTACAAAGACAATCAGTACTGAAAAACCATAACTGATAACACCGTGAATCCATTACAACTCAACTGCTAACATTGACAGAGCTAGCATTTACACTTGAGAATCACTTATAGATAAGTCAAGACGCGTATTATCTTAATATGTCATTATCTTAATATTTATCTAATTCTTGTTAAAACTGCGAGAAGGTAACACCTACTGTGTTACCCTCTCTTTAAGCTCCACTGACATTTTATTACGATTTTAGCCTCCATGTGCAGTCCGTACTTAGACTGTCAGTGATGAAAATGACTGTGAGCATCACTTCATCATTTAAATGGTCTAAATATGGAGCGTTATTCATTATTTAGAGACAGACCTTCCTGCATTCTTCAGCCCTCTAACTTTTTGATGATTTCAAATGAAAAGGTTCCAGTAACAAGAACCAAACCATTGAGTCCTGCAGGTTCTTTCTCAAACACCCCCTATAAAGGAAGGGTACAGGTCCTGTGAGCAGCGGTGACATAAATAGCTTATGTTCCTGAAGCCAGCATCACAAAGTCAGCAGCTCAAGGAGCAGCAGGGTGGTTCGGTCAGAGAATTACAGTAACAATGTTAGCCTTCGTTATATCCGGCAGTGGTTCTGCCCTCTGACAGACTCGGCAGGCCTCAGGTGTTAAAGCCTGATCCTCTCGCTGCTTTTCTCTGACACCAACACGAGAAAAAAAAAAATGTCCGTGAACTCGGTCAGACCCCCCTCCAGGACCCTCCACAGGAGGGCGGGGCTGTAAAGGCCACGCTCAACTCAGCTTGACTGACCTTAAACATGCTTGTACTTCTTCACACTCACACGCAGAGTGGCACACACGCACAGGGTTATAGATGGGCTGTCATATTGTCACACACTGTAGAAAATGCAGCGGTACTATCAGCGTTTTCCAAAGCAGGATTCAAAGCACTGCTACCTGCTGACAGCTGCTGATACCGAAGTAAAACTCACCTCACTTCACAAAGCACAAGTATAAAAGTAATCACATGTGAATTTGCATACTTATCATGATTGGACCAGCTGCTGTGCACACGCCACGGTATGTCTTTCATACACCTAAATAAAACCAGAACCCCCCTGTGGATTTGGATGGTAGATATAAAATGTGAATGTGTGTGCGAAGAGTATGTGTGCGCAGGCGGTCACATGCACGCTATCTCCTCTTTGGCTAGTTGGCAGGAATGCAGTCTCATATCTCAGCATTTACATAATGTTCTACTTCAGTGGGTTCAGTGGGTTCAGTGCAGTGTGTTAAGGAAAGCTGGTGAATGCACAAATGAGCTCTGTGAAATGTTTTATTATCTCGGTGTTAATGTTTCCAATGTGTTTATAGGAAATGCATACAGAATGTACTTTAATAACGATAATTTCCTTTGAAAATAGCATTACCATATACATACAGCGTACATTCAGTGTATGCATTTAAAAGAAGTAACTACATTTGTTGCAGCAGCAGCAGTTTTGAAGTCTGAAGTTTAATGAAGCAGATTCTGAGAGTTTTTTTTTTTTCTTCTGAAATGCAGTTTTAATAAAGTAGAATCACAAAACCTTGCTGTTATTTTTCTGTGGTTTAAACATCTCAGATTTAATTCTTACATTTCTAACCCTGCACTTTAATTTTAGCAGATCACTTTAGAGACCAGAATACAAAGGGGGATTTGTTGTCCTTGAGCACCAGAGAGATGGGTATTTGGAGGGACACAGTGATGGTCAGGAAGTTTTTAATCAAAGCAGCAGAGTTATTAAACAAACACATAGAACCACAGGAGACAGTTTTGGGATCATGTGTCAGGCTCAAGGACACTTTGACATGTGGAAAGTGGGACCCCCATCCTTCCAACTGAGAGACAGTTAGGAGCCTCTTCCTTGTGGCAGGCTCAAAGAGACCATTTTAAAAAAACCTAATCACAGATAATCTCACCCTGATCCTCAAAGTCGCTTTATTAAGAAGTCAACACTAGAGTGTGTCGGTACGTTATTGAAATAACTAGAGATGCAACTAGGCTGTCATCCAGCGGAAAGACTCTAAGATACTTACACATACTGACACTTACGGCCTAATTATTTATAAAATGTAGTGTTTCAAACCATTGTAATATTGATGGTAAACAATATATCTGGGTGTAGTTTATACAGTATCAATGCAGTGTATATGGAGTATACAGTATATTATGTCTCTGCTTTATTTGACTGAATAACTCTGGATGTGAACATAAAAAAGTCACTTTTAACCCTTTGTGTAGTCGACAAGTAATGCTGTAATAATCATAAAACAACCAAAATACATCATTTAATACCAGTTATCACCTTTTTCAGTTAAGCAGAGCAACAGCACAATTGTGCGTTGTACTGTGGATGTTTGTTTTTTCAACGATTGTGAACTCTTTAACTTGAAATGGTTTTGTTGTCCCCGGAATCATTTTTGATAAAGACTAGGTCTCACTTCTGCTGACATTGATGATCTAAAAAGAGGAATTTAAAACTGAAGTTTTACCATTTTAACTAAAGTAATGTCCAAGTGCTTTTTCTTTTCATACTGATCCTTTTGGGGGCCAAAGTTTCACTTTCTTTCTCGTCTCTTTCTCAGCAAACAAATGACAATATAGTTTCTGTGACATTATGGGATAGTCGGCGGTTAATACTGCTACATAATCAGTCCCTGAGCTCGAGAAATACAGTAAGCTCTTATATTGTTAAACTAGACTTGATACTCACAAAGATGCAGAGCTGATAAGTCAATAGGTGATGTCTGGTTTTCTATTCTTGCCCAACAAATATTCAACATCCAGCCATTTCCCAACGTGGTATTGTGTTAGCAAACAGCAAAACAGCGCAGATTGATCGTGACCAAAGCGAAGCTGGAGGGCAGATTTCAGACCTGGTCCCAGAGAGTCTGGGCCCTGACAGACAGCGGAGGGGACAAATGAGACAGTGTCAATATTGAAACAGGCTAATGGGCTAATGAATGTGGAGAGTTCTGCCTAATGTTCCCAACAGAGCTCCTAGCAAAACCATTAAAGCACTTTTATATGACGAGACAGGCACAATGCAGTAACTCGATTTATGGGGTACTTTCATGGTCAATTAGAGTGGGAGAGAGAGGAGAGAGAGGCCTGATAGGAGAGGTTAGAGAGTGTGTGTGTGTGGTGTGTATATGTGATATGAGCTTATTAGCTTTAGACAGGGTTACGCCTGCTTTTGTCAATATTGTCCTGAGCTGCGTTACTTTTGATTGTGTCATTTGGATCAGTATGTAGACAGAATAAACAACCACCCAATAAATATTCTGTCACTCTGACTTTATCAGATCTGACCTGCTTGAATTGGACACATGTGACCGACTGGACATTTTGAGTCGAAGACTAATACCACTTTAAAGAGTCATCTGGGGATTATTATAACCTCATATTTCAGACTGAATAATAAAGTTTGACATTACTTTTATGAAAGCTTTTGCTCCTTGTGGAACTATATTATCGCCTCCTTGATTAACTTTTATACAGCTCCGGCAGGTGTGGCTAAATGTCCTATCATCTCAAAATTTATCCACAAGACTTTAAAGTAACACAGTCGAAAAGAAAATGTCTGACTCTCGTCTCCAGACCCTATCCTGCAAATCTTTTGTCAAACAAAGCAGGGCAGGGTTATATTAAAGTAAATGTTGAGATACCGCTAGTGCATCATTTTTCTTCATTTTGCTCTCGCTGGATTTTCATTCCCTCAAAGGTCAGAGCAGTTGAACTGAAGGAGGGTTCAGCCTTTAGCATGACAGGCACTTTGTCTGTTAAAGAAGATGTTTATTGACAGATTAAATAACCAGATTCTCCACAGAAGGCTTCAAAAAGTCCTTTGTACCTTCAGATGTGGCATTTGTGAAGGAATTATTATGATGGATGTGTTTTGACATTTGGATTTGAGGTATTTTATGTCTATTTTCTGGGTCTCTTTGGTTGAATCAGTAAAGGTTGACCCATCCATCCATTCGCCTGCTGCTCTTTGCATTTAAACATAAACTTCTGCACAGACGAAACTAGTCAGACAAATGATTCATAAAACCAAATGTTGAAAAGCAGACTGGTTTATCTGTGGAGGCTGTTGTGTATACCTAAGTTGATAAAAAACAGTCTGTGAAAAACATAGAATATGTATACTATACGAAAAGTAACAACTGTTGGAATACAAAGCAAGGGGCAGTAGTGTTTCTTTACTGCGGTTAACACGTCATGAAACAGGAGAGATGAAAAAGAAGCAGCAGCTGTCTGCGAGCTAGCTGTAACAGCTCAATAAGAGATGATGAGACACTTAAAAACTGATTCTTAAAGATTTACAGTGAATCCGATAACAAGTCAAAACTTGCATCTAAAATAAACAACGTACTTTTACCATGCCGGAATAAAAGAAACCTAAAAACAAGACAGAGAAACATATCAAAATAAAAGAATAGCAATCACTTTTGAGGTAATGTCGTCTAATGTCTTGCCAAATTTTCCACATACATCCATTATCCAGAAGTGTAAATACGATGTTGTGATAGCTGTACTATGCATTTTATTGCCAGACAAAAGATAAGAAATAATGTCCACCGACAGCCTAAGTTGTAAAGTTGTTGTGTCTTTACTATCAGCCCCTGAAAAACTTTCAAAATGATCCCCTCTGAGTCGTACATGCTTCTCTCTGTTTCACAAATTCAGACATTTTCCACCTCTTCTCCCTCTTTCTCTCTCTCTGTTGCGTTACTGTTTTCCTCGGAGAGTTGTTGCGGCAGGCAGAATCAGTGGAGGATATTTTTAGTTTGCAAAAAGCAGCTCAGGTAGTACAGTTTCTCCCCTCTCTTTCAGAGAAAAACAGGTTTGAATGAAACGCCTCAGTGGTTTGAGCAGGAATTCAATGCTTAGGCCTGATTCAGTGACCCCCGTGGTGTTATTTATGACATAAAACTGTCTGTTACTTTGTGCTTCCCAGCTAGCATTGAGTTAGCTTGTACTAAGCCCTGTGCTCAAACAGCTTCCTTTGTTTTTACATACAGGAGAAGATTGTTATGCTTTTGTCAGTTTCTCTGTTGAGGTTGTGCTGCATGTTTGGGTTCTTGATTCTGTGGTAATATTTTCCCTTCTCCTGCAGTCATTTGATTCACTATTTATGAGAAAAGACATTGTCAAATGGATTTTTATCTTGTCGAATCTTGGCGCAGAAGCATATTTGTTATCTTTCTTTATCCAAAACTTAGAGCAAGTCTCTCTTGAAAGCTTATTTCGATGTTACATTAATAATGAAACATTAACTATTTAGGATATCAAGCTGTAAGTTGTTAGAGCTGAAGATATGAACAGACCTCCCCAAAGACAGAAAGTCTAACAAACATTTTCTCCTTCTGCTGTGTTTGTGATGTGAAACAGCTAATGTCTGATTTGTTTATCCCGTTATATGTCATGTCAGTTCTTTTGTATGTGTCGAGATGCAGTATTTATTTGGCTCAGAGGCTGATGCATGGTGTGGGTTTGCAGTTTGTGTTCTGATTTTCCTAAAGATTTGTCTCCACAGTCAAAAGCTGGGATCTGTTACACAAAGCACATCATGGCGGCTTTGAAATTCAGTAGATGGAAACTGGTTTTTACGAAGCAGTAACAAATATTTTGTCAATGAAAAACAAAAAAATATATACTTTTAGTCAGAAGATAGAACTACTGGAACTTTCTTTAAATTACAGAAACTGTGTCAGGACATAGAGTCAGAAAGTCATTTATGGTTTATTATGATAATTCCTCCATGTCTTGTTGTAAAGGATGTTTTCATACCTACAGCTTGTTTGCCTAGTTTCGATTTCTGTGATAACATGATATATTGTTGTATTTCCCTCTTGGGTCCTTCTGTGTCCAGACTGCAGTACTGTAAAGTGGGCCAAAGCACTCATCACTGCAGGACTGTCCTTATGTGACTCTAACAACGCACAGGTAAACTAATGCCCTGCACACTGCTCTCACTTTGCATTGTGCAAAGCTAGTTCCAAGATGCTGCCCATCAATTGGCTGCCATTTTGACGTCCAACAAAATGAGTCATGGGTTGACATGAAGCTTTGATATAATCTGATATGACCCATTCACAGAAATAGTTCATAGTTTCCGCTGTGAATAAATAAAAAAAAGAGGAAGGTTCTTATGGTTCCTAAAACTATAGAAAAGTTCCTTTGTTCATGCTTTATTATTGTCAGCCTGCTGTTGATACTATTGTAATTATGACTGGAACTATTGTTGCTGTTGGGTTGATCATGCTCTCACTACATATGAACCTCCACTGGAACTGAGACCTCTACCCTTACCAGGGGATCTTGGCTGACTACTTTTTAAAAAATCTACATTAGAGTGCGATTGCTGTGTAATATGTCTGAATGACCCGAGTCAGGAGGGACATGCTCCCAGCAAAATCCAGGTATGAAAGCACTCTAAATTAACCATTTAAAGCCAATGAATCAAGAATATACAAAGATGGATATTAAAACATGGCAACAAATCAAAATCCCATAGTGTGAAACCCACTTATGTCCTCACATATGATTCTGGCAGTTCTGTCAGATCTCCCCGTAGATGGCAAGATATAAATCATTTTCGCATTCTGGCAGGTATTTCAGGTTTGAGTGGAACTAGTCAGACAGTTTCTGAGCAGTTTCTCTTTGTGGAGGACCCAAAGCCCCAGAATGAATGAGTGAGTCCATAAATCACAACCTAAGCTGGATTTCATTGTGTGGTTTCTATTCAGGAGATTCTTTGTCCTCTATCAGCTCCTGCATGGAGCTTTCATCAAACCACTCGTTAGAAGTGTCTCTTTACCTCTCACATTTACTCCTGTTTAAGTTTCAGAGTCAATGGTTTTCCTAAAGTCAAGAGTTTGGTGTTCACTTATAGTCCGTGGCCCTCGCACTGTGGTGTGAATGGAAGGGAACAAAGGCACTCAGAGTGAAAAACCCTCAGGGCTTTAAGTATCTCAGCCTCACTTTAGCTGATAAAAACTGTATTTACAGAAAATGAATAAAAACATTGATGAGATTCATTCACACACTTTAGTCAGAAATGAGATTATTATTGATTCCTGCGAGGGGAAAGTCATTACAGCTGGATTCTGAAGTGTGACAAAGCAAAAACAATAAGAGTACCTCAATATCAATGTTGTAACAGGGGAGCTGAATTTGTCTAGTTAATGTACTTTACTGGCAGTGAGTTGGATTTATTTTTTTTTTATTAAAGTAAGTGCATTATCGCTCAAAAAAACTAATCAGGAACAAGAGAAGACATTATTTAACTCGTTTTCCCATCATTCAGATTCTTCCTATAAGTCAATTATGCTTAAGTAACTTCATTGCCTGCGTGTTTTTGCAAGTTTTGCCTGCTTTTTTCAAAATGCAATCATATATTTGCATTAGACTATGGAACTCATGATTAACCACATTTTTAGTCACGTGGTCAATATCCAGTTATTGTGCATAGCTAAACCAGTCCGCGTTAACAATGTAAAACAACTCCTTCCAGTGTCTTGATTTGAGAATCAAATGAGCGCAGCAAAAAGTTATTTACGAACTTGACTTGATTATTTATTAAAATGCTAAACTGCTACGCTAGCATGGTTTAGATCAGGGGTGGGCAATTAATTTTTACATGGGGCCACATGAGAAACCTGAACTGTGTTGGAGGGCTGAAAGCTTAAGCTTAAAGTCTTTTATGATAAGCGGATTTGGCAGCTCTAAGGCGTCTACGAATATTTTTCCGATGTTTAAACTTGTCTCTGTTCACGAATGCAGATCTAGGATGTGCGCACGTGCGTCCAAACGGAAATAAAACAGCAGCTTGGTTTTCAATAAAAAAAGCGACTCACTTGTATAGCATGTTGATGATTTGATTGACGGACCTCACGAAGGGCTGGGCAGGGACATCCAAAGAGCCGGATGTGGCCCTCGGGCCGTAAAATGCCCAGGTCTGGTCTAGATCAACTTTTAAGTCTGATTGGGCCAGACTTAAAGTGGGGTCCATTTTTTTTTAAACTGAGGCCCCCCTAGGATCCGCCCCTGCAAAACAATGATCTGCTTAACTTTGTGATACACTGTCACTGTTATCAGTTGTTTTTGCTGCACCTGTATGCTTGGATCAGAGGTGATAGCTCAGCGTTAAAGTCCCTCTGTGATATTTTGACACAAAGTGCATGTTAGTTTTGACTTGTCAGCTGAGCCATCTGGGATTTTTTATTTGTTTTTTTGTTACTTGCGTGCAGCGGTCTTCTTATCTATCACAATGGCAGCAGGAAGCAGGAAGACACTGTCGTGGCTTATCTTTGTTGTGCAGAATGGAACAAAATAGCATGCAGTTAGAAAACTAAGGAAAAAATACATTTTAAATGCTACTATGGCAGTTTTATGCAAGAGAGTCTTTAAAAAGCAGACGTTTCACCTTTTCAATAAGGTTGTAAAGCTCAGATTATGCTGGAGCCTTCAGAGGTGATATGCAGCTAGAAAAGATACAGAAAATCCTCCAGAAATGCTTCAAAAATGAGGCTTTTTCTCAGACAAAAACGCTAAAACTGCTGCAGTCTAGTCACGTATTATTGCTAGATAGCATCATAGACAATACACAACAGTGTGTGTTATTGAAAAATCACACAATATTGTAAAGTTCATGGGAGAATTGGGTCTAAAAGGCACTTTAGCATTTATAGATAAAACCCACTCATGTACAAGAGGACTTAAAGGGTATTGAGAGAGAGCATGTGTGTGTGTGAGAGAGAGAGAAAGAGAGAGAGGGAGAGAGAGAGAGAGAGTGTGTATGTGTGTATATAAACCGTCTGCATATGATGTGTAGACAGCAGGACCATCATTATTCCAGTCTGGACAAATGCCTCATGTTGGAGGACAGGCCGACCAACATGATGAATAACTGAGAGAGAGAGCGAGAGAGGAGAGAAAGATACACAGACTGTGACAAGGCGAGGGAGAGAGACAGAGCTAGACTACGAGAGAAAGAGAGAGAAACACAAAGACAGAGCGAGACAGAGACAGAGAAGAAAAAAGGAGAGAAAGAGACAGACGGGAGAGACAGAAAAGAGAGAAAGTAGCTTCATTAACAGAAAGCACAACAGACAGAGGAACAGATGATTGTGCCGCAGATTTCAATCCCTACATCTCAGCCAATTACTGAAATAGCTGGGACGGACACACACACACACACACACACACACAACACACACACACACACATAAACACAGGGAAAGGGACAAAGAGACTGGCCATAAGCCTGGTTAAGCAGTATTAAATTATTCCTCAAATTAAAAGGCCGTACCTGCCCTGTCCTCCTAGAGCTCTGTGTGTGTGTGTGTGTGTGTGTGTGTGTGTGTGTGTGTGTGTGTGTGTGTGTGTGTGTGTGTGTGTGTGTGTGTGTGTGTGTTAGAGAGAGAGAGAGAGAGTGATTAAGCTGTTAATTAATTTTATGTCCTTGTATTTAATAAGCGTGGACAGTGAAAATTTAGTGCATGTGCGCGTGAGTGTGTGTGAAAGAGAGAGTTTGGGAGACAGAGACAGAGAAAGGGAGGAGTGTGTGTGTGTGTGTGTGTGTGTGTGTGTGTGTGTGTGTGTGTGTGTGTGTGTGTGTGTGTGTGTGTGTGTGTGTGTCTTGGATAATATTTCTGATGTGTCAGTTTAGTCTGAGAAGGAGAAAGAAAAAAAATGAAGAGCAGAAGCATCCAGACAGACACGTTTTCTGAAGATTTTTTTTTGTTTTTCATTCGTGTCACTCGTCTACAAAAAAATGTCTTTAAATGAAACCGACTGCTGCAAAAACATTTGGTGGTTTTGGTGAAGAAACTACTCTCAATATCTGACTGAAACTGCAGACCATATGTGCCAATGCAAGAACCTTTATCTTTAAAGGAGACCTGTTCTGGTCATTCTCACTTTACTTTATGTCAGTCTAAAAAAGTCATTTTTATTTCACACTGGGGTCTTCAAAGCCCTTCTTCAGCACTTTTCCACCTCAGCCTGAAACTTTATCTTGGCTGTTTTTCCAGTGAGATAAAGTTCGCTTATAGGTGCTACTTTTTACACAGCTTTGTAGTCATGAAACATCCTGAAAGTAACGTCTTTATTCGAAACATCTAGAGTAAGTCATCAGCAACTACATTAGCTCCCTATCACCGGTTAGCAGTTGTTACAGTACCTGACGTTTTAATGGTCATGACAACATTAGCATACAGTGATAATGCTTTCAACCACTCTAGAGATAGAAGGGCGTACAACAGAAAGACCTCCCGCCTTTTTCCTGGCCTTTGTCCGTTGGAAGAGAAGATAACATGGATGTTTCTTCATAAACTAAATAACTCTAGTCCAAGACGGTCAAAATCAGGGCGACAGTGTGTTTCAGCACCGTCCTAACAGGACACCACAAAGCTCACAAAGCTCTCAAAACGAGCTCATAGAATCATGTCATGTCTAGTCTGGTTTGAAATAGATATCCAACATTTGAATAAGATATGTATGTGTTGAAATCTGGATCAGTATAATGAGTCTCTTTTAATCATTTGACAGGTTACTATGATCAGCCTACTGTGGTATTTATTTTGGCAGCTGTTTCAGTTGCAGTCCTGGTCTTACGTCAAAAATTCTCATTAGTTTTAGTCACATTTTAGGTCTGTTGAGGGTGTTGAGTTTTTAAAGAAAATTCACTCTGTATCCTGTTTTCAAAGCTTTGCACTTGTAGCCCCTCCCCCAAAACGCTGTTCCTGTGAAAAGGTTTCTGCATGAGCAGAATCTTGACCTTTAATTGGTATCAAGGTTGCCCAAACACTGGCCTGCTGCGGTTTTCTTGTCAGTGCTTAGATGGAGACGCACAGATGTCTAAGCTAAACTCTGATTATCTCTAACAAGAAATAATGCAAATGCCATCACTGGTCTTTTTTTCTGTGCTGACGTCTTCTCATCCACAGTGCTGCTGCAATAACTCATTAAAAGTGTTCTTTTAGAGTCGTTTTTCAGCACTTCATCAAGGTTATAAGGCTATACCATCAAGGTTCCTTGATTTTAATTAAAGTTAGAGACTCAGATCCACATCAGACTCAGAGGCTTCTTTTAACTCTATTGTAGTGTTTCTTCATTTCATTTTCCTTTGATTGTAATTTGATTATTCTCTGCTCAGCCAGTGTGTGCGTACGGAAACATAAAGGAGACTCAATTTGATGAAAGTATCAGCACACTCCTCTGTTTGCTCTTAAAATTAGTTAGTTGGCACACCACTCCTCTTTATGGCACCTTCTCTGGTTTGGTTCAAAACAAAAACAAACAAAAAAATTCGGAGGGAAAAACCAAATAAACTAGAAAGGGAGAAAGAGGCGAAGGCGACCTTTGCTTTGTGAATGAGGAAGAGAGTGAAATGTGAGTGATGAAGAGAAAAGAGAAGAGGAAGAGGAGGAGGGGGTGTTTATAGAGGTGAGAGATGAGGGGCAAAGAGAAGAGGGAGGAGGGAGGGGTGCTCACTGGCATGAAAAGATAGAGAGAAAAGAGAAGGTGGAGAAAAGGAGAGAGAGAGAGAGAGAGCGGTTACACAGCGGGAGAGTCTGAGTGCTCTCCTCCATCAGAGACTGTTGATTAAAATTTCATTGGCTGAGGCTGGAGGTCGGAGGTGATGCTCTATGTGTGTGTGTGTGTGTGTGTGTGTGTGTGTGTGTGTGTGTGTGTGTGTGTGTGTGTGTGTGTGTGTGTGTGTGTGTAATATAAAAGCTCAGCGCCTCCTCTCTTCATGCACTCACTCACTCCTGCACTCTCTCTCTCTCTCATTGGCTAATTATCTGTCTTTGTCTCTCGTTCTCCTGAGCTCTCTTCTTCCTGTTTTCTCTCTCAATTATTTCACTGGTTTCTCCTCTCATTTATGTAACTCCTTACTTACATAAAGCTTCTGAAATTCATACTGTTGCTTTCACATGATATAGGAAAGCAAAGCAAACCATCAATAATGATATTGGCTTTACTTTAATACTGTAAGTTTTAATCCCTGAAACCACTGTGTACGCTGCTTCTAACTCCAGTCAACAAATGCAATTGGAAACAATGAAAGAGGAAAATAAAACTAAAGGCTGTTCCTGCTGTGTAATATAACTTACTTTGTGACACTAACGATGTTGCAGTGGTCACAAGCATTAAAAGGAACACTATGGAAATAACTGTAGAGAGATTATCATCATGAGAGCTTAGTTAACGACATCCTACACATATTATTTTTGGCTTTCCAATGTTCAGTGTCAGAGCATCAAAACAGGTTTTGAATTAAAGGTTTTATTGGAAAAATCCTTTAAACACTTTGAAAATGATATCTTAAATTATAACATATATATAATACACATATATAATATCAGTTTAAGAACTGTAAGTTTGTTGGTTAGAATGTGTTTCTATAAAAAAATAGATAAATTAGTTAATTGAAATAAATCCCCAACAAATTCAGTGTTGATGTAATTTGCTGTAGGCCCAGCTCGAGCCATGTATTGTCCAGATTTATCTCCTCTCAGATAAAAGTCTGAGTAATTCCAGCGATGTCGCCTCGTTCCTCCGTTAGGTCTCGTCTCCATTAACCTCTTTTATTAAAGCCTCCTCCTTCCTTCTTTTCAAATCAGAGCCCACAAGACTCCACTCTGTTTGTGCTGCTGCTTTTTCAATTACAGCAGCAGACTGAGAGGGTACCTGAACACACCAACAGCGATACACAGGTGCAGACACACACAAACACGCACAAACAGTGTCGGCTCTGTCGCTGTGGAAACATTGTGTCATGTCAGCGTCTTTATCACTGCTGCTGAGAGTGTCATAGGAAACAGATTGATTTTCTGTTTGTGTATAAACATAGTAAAGGAAACCCGGACCGTTTTCTGGCCTTATACTATTCAAGAGTTTTTCAGTATTTGATAGAGTTATGAGACTCTGCAGACTCTTGGATATTTGAATTCTTTGCAAGAAATGAGTCTGAATATTCATCTATTTAACACTGAAAAGTTTTCTTTCCTGGGCAACTCTATTGTTGTTGTTGTATATCACACTTTAAAGAACTGTTAAGACCTATGAACCTTTATCGAATATTTGTTTATTAACCAGAGTGATATGATAGGCACATTACAAGAAAGCAGGCCTCGAAACCAAGACTTAAAATTCAGCATTTCTGCTAGTTTGTTGGTTCGATTGGCTCCACATTTTCATGGGCTCTTCTCTGGCCTATGCTACACATTTCCACTATACTGTTCATGAAAACCTAGTCCACCATTTTTTCACAGTCCTAACATGAAAGCAGTGAACTAACAAACTCCAAAACATGACCTCTGTGGTAGAGGTAATGACCACTGGCTGTGTGTAAAGATGGATGACACACCTCCTTCTCCTCTTGTTGCAAGATATCGGGTTGGTCATGTCTCCAAAGTAAGCATTGGCCACACCAGCAAAACAACACCATGAATCATCATCATCATCTTACTGTTATTGAAAGTTGTGTAACTCTTGTGTTCCTCAGTGTGTTTACAGCAACAGTTAAGTCAACTGATGGTTAAAGCTCGATCAGGCGATTCAACTGGACTACTGTCCGTGTCCCAGTTTTAAGAATCAAGTTATTTGCAGGAGGATGGTGGCAACATGTTCCCTTTCAGCTTGTTGCTCCTGAGTCACCTCCCATTACACGGGATAAAGATCTAACAATAAAACAAACTTCACTTTTATAACCTATTACCTTTCGTATGAGTGATAAGAGGGGTTCAACTTTTTAAAATCCTTTCTTCATCTATCAAGGTTTTGTTTACAACCCTGCTACATGGCAAAGCATTCATGCTATTCAACTTCAGGGTTAAAGCCCAGCTAGTCTAGAGAATGCACAGAATTCTTATGCTAGTATTAGTCAAGCTGATTATGATAAATTATTAAATTATCTGTTCAACCCATTCTTTTAGAGATTTCTGAATGGCATTAACTTGAAATAAAAATTAAAAAAACAACAACAAAAAAGATATCATACCAACCTACAAGGTCTCATGTGTATACCACTGTCCATATCAGAATTTTAACACAGTTATAAGAACTTCAATTTCAAGTCTGCAAAAGATTCTCAGATTCAGTCGAAGCTTATCCAGGATTTATCATACACATGCTTTTTTTTCTAAGCCAGTGCAGCTAAAAGGATTTTCTTTGCACATGAGTAGTTTTGAGTCAGAACCACTGTCGGGATGAAACACTGATACATAAAAGCTGAGCAGTAATGGTATGATGAACTCCAAGCCCACTAGTCCTTAAACTCTGCCCCGTTTTGTTTCTTTGTGACTTCAGTGGAGATGGTTTTAATGAGTCACACACTCATAACCAGAGATGGAGGCTGATTTTTGATGAGTTAAGCCGATGTGGTTGGTTGAAAGAGTTGGGTTTCCTTTCATTTAAATGGCTTATTTTTGTCAATTTTACTTTTTTAACCAGACGTAGGAAAAAAAACATTTTCCTTGTTCTATCAGTTTCAATTTTAAATCTGCCTTCTTTTAAATTCTGGCAAACAAATGCATCAAATGGAAAGAGAGAAACAAAGCAATAATTATACACAAAGCAAATTAAGACAATGAAAATATGTCTCAGTTCCAATTTTGACATGTTGTTTTAAGATATATAAATTTAAAGTCCTGTACTTTTTGCTTGGATAGGGATGTTTTCTTTTGGGTTCTTAACTTTAGAGACACATTTAAGAAACACTCAGTGTATCCACTGAGGCAGCTTTCATTTTTGTGTCACAGAATCCTAAAAAAAAATGGTTTTACTGGTACTTGGAGCTGTTACAATGGTAGCATTGGACACAGTGGAAGGTTAAGATGGTCACAATCCAGCAGAATGATGTTGGCCTAGTACTGCAGCTGGCTCTGGACATGGTGCAGAGGGGAAACTGGTACAGCAGCCATCCATATGCGGAAAGAAAGGATTGTACAATATGTACTGTATGCGACTGAACGCTGCTACAAGGCTGAACAGATTTAGACTTGTGTTTATAATCATATACCCTTGTATATATTTGACTTTGGACAGCCTGTCATTGTTTGGTTTACAGTAGAAAATAATATTTTAGAATGAACTATTTTGGGAAGTCATCTCCTACATTAACATGACAATGCAGCTGTGTACAAGCTAGTGCCAAAAAGCAGTGGTTTCTTAATTTGAATGGACCAGACCTTTAATATCGACCCCATCCAACACTGGGATGGGATGGACAGGAGTGCCAACATAAAAGCCATATCTTTATTTAAATTACAAGCGTTGGACCACTCTGATGCTCTTGTAGTTAAATGGAAGTAAATCCCTGCTGTTCAGTGAAAAGATAGGATTTCCTTTAGTTTGATGTTTAAGCAAAAAATTAATGCGAGCAGTTAAACATTTAGGTATTATGTGAGAAAATGATTTCTAAGGCAAGCAGGGACTTAAACACCAAGTGAAGTTATGAAAACATACCTGAGTAGTAACTTTCCAAGCTTGTTTCTCCAAAATTCTCCTTTTCAGCCCGACACAGATAGAAGGATTGGTGCTTAATCTGTTTTAAATCCATAATTGAGCATTTGTATTTGTTTTGAATAATGTGGTGTCATTTTCTCTGTGAGCATCAAACATTTCTTGTGATTTCTACCAACCATTTGTGCCCATTATCCCAAATGTTGCTTTAGACAACAGCTATAAATGGCACTTCACCAAGTTTTAGCTAACACTAGTGGTTGGTATAATGAACTTTTATTAGCTAGAGTTTGGTTGAGCTCTAACAAAACTACTCAGTGATTTCAGAAGACACAAAAGTAAAAAAACAACCTGGATTTCAAGCTTACTGTGATGTTCACTGACTAATACACAGTATTGGTCCAGCAAACAGTAGTTACTGTTGTTTTTCCTTCCCAAAATATCTTAAAGACTTTATAAAACTGAACATTGCAAGTGACTTTGACCTGACCTTATTTTTACTTAGTATCTTTACTGTAACAACGTGGCAGCTGAGACATGTTGTGTGAGTAAGGGAAGCTCAGATGAAGGTCAATGCCATCCTGAATAATGACATATCCTTATCACTGGAAATAAAAGACTATGATGATTTAGCCCTGAGGGACATCAAGTCATATTTCAAGTTATAATAAACATAATAATTGAATTAATACAATTCAAATTAATAAGCTGCATTACAACAATAGCTAACGTTAGCACTCAACCAATTCCTAACTCATACTGAGCTACAGGTAGAAATTGGTGGCGAGGTAATGTTAGTCGTTGTGACCCAGCCCTGGGAAACTAATGACTTCTGTTTGTCTTCAGCTTTCTTATCAGAAAAAAAGGTGAAATTGGTGAAAAAGTTACTTTATTTTACAACGATATCCTGTCTTCAATGACTCATATTTCAGATTCCCCTTGTTTACACTGGAATTTAGCCATTAAAGCTTCCCACCATTAACACAGAGTCAGAGGAAATGGCCACTTTGTGAAAATGTGTGTGACTCAGACGCTTCAAACTCTAAATATGAGTTCAATAAGATTTAGTGAATTTGACACCATGTGGAGAAGAAGAAAATTATGTAATTACCAACTGTAGGCGGGTATTAATGCACCCAGTTTGGAGCTGTTTTGATCAGATTTCAGGATTCACACTTGTTAGTCTGTTGACTCTGCAAAGAAATTACTGCAGCAACTCAAACAGATCCAGCATCTTCACACACAAACCACATTTTGTTCTGTAACAAAACACCAAACACACTCTGCAGCAGCGTTGAATCTTACTCAGACATAAAGGAGGATGCTCGACTCCAATAGCACTGGTTTGATGCTGAACACACTTAGGAGCACGAGACATTACACATTCACACACATCAGTTAAAAGTCATTATGCTCTTCTCGCTCTCACAAACACACATCCGCCGTGTACACAGCCGCATCAGCAAATTAGCTGAATAAAGAGCCTCTTTTTGCCTTTTGCTTTTGAGTGGCTAATTAGCCATCAGAGCCCGCTGTGTGGAGAGAGGGAGATCCATCAAGAGGTAGAGCTTCAAAGAGCAGTTTATAGAAGCCAAAGCACTTTAATTAGGACCTATTTGTACGAGAAAGTGGAGAGAAAAACATAATTTGAAGCCAAAAGCTGTAGAATGTGGGGGGAAAATAAACACAGTCTAATACGCACACAGATAAAGAGAGACAGGAACAAACTAAAAGGATTAGACTGGAGGAGATGAAGAGAGAGGGGAACTGACTCCAAATGCTGAAACACCAATTATATGTTGTATTCAGTGTCACAGCTAAGATGAATAAAAATGATGGGAAAAATGCTGAATATACTCTTCAGTCGTGTGTTTAACTATTGTTTGATCCAATTGCAGTAATAAAGACGTCTCTGCTGAGACCTGACACGACAAATCTGTGCTCAGTAGTTTAAAGGGACATACCACTGTTTTGCTTCCTTCTGCCAATAATGACATAATTCTCCACACATACAACTTAAAATCTTACAGAAAATAAAATCAGCACTGACACTTAATGTAAAGATTATTGGGACTGTTATGTCTCCAGACGTACCTCTCCATCACCATCCAACAACAGCTTTTGACAATGTCATTTTAAATGTTTGTTAAAGTTTGCAGAGCTCCTGGTTCCAATACCCCAAACAAAACTTCCACAGCACCCTAGTGTGCATTATTTCAATGGACAGATATAATGGACTCATAGCCTTGTACCTTATTATTGAATAGGTCTGATGTGAATTCTTGACAGCATGTGGGATCTAGGATTTACATTGGGAAATGGTCAGTGAGGTTGGGTTTATGTACCAAAACTTACTTGGATTTCAAGTTAGGTGAAGGATCATATTTGGTAAGTTACATTAAGTAGGTAATTTGTATTACTTTGGTTGAATGTTTCCATGAATAGTGGTCCTATTTTTGGAATAAGCACCAACATTAATCACTAGTGTGCTGATGTCTTGGTTTAACTATCTTGCAAGCCAGCAGCTGTTGATTACTGATGATGGCTTATCAGTGTCTTGAAGGGTTTTTCCATTTAGTAGTGGAAGATTTTACCACTTCTTTTAACTCTGCAACTAGAAACAGAGGAGCACTTGAAAAAAGGGGTTTGGGGTAACAGTGAGAAATGGAATTGGGCCAAATGTAGGGCTGTATTTTGGCAAGGATAGTCTAAATAGATGGACTTGTCAGCTATCTCAGCTTCTGGTCTCACCATTGGAGAAATAGTTTCCATAACTTTTTTCAATATGGGATTTGTTTAAAACTAGACTAGGTGTCTTTGAAGTCATGTAACATGTTGTAATAATGAGCCGAATAGTGTCATTATGGATCTCAGACATTAGAAATTCTTCATAGATATCATCTAATAGACTATTGTGAGCTGAGTCAGACAGACATATTTGACTGGCTGGAGCTGCGGATGGTCTGGACTGTTGTAACATGTAGATATTTGGGTATCACTGTTCAGCTTGACGAGCAGTTTCTGTGTGCTCTCTACATTTAAATCACATGATTATCATCATGATTCCCCTGCTGGCTGAGCTGCTGCTTCTACATCTGTCTGAAGATACACACACGTCTTAATCTTGAGAGTGAGAGGAGAAGAAACCATTTAATTTATGTAGAAACTCATGAATAAGGATTTTAAATATGATAGAGTGTGGCAGGTGAGCTGAATAAGACGAATATTAGCTTTCAAATGTTGTTTGTTTCTGATTTTATTAGAAAATATCCCATTAGTTCATCTTGGATGTACCTGAATGGGCTGCTTCAGCTCCTCATTGTTTGTTGCTACATTTTTAAATTCTTTCTGGAGGAGAGCTGTTGATGTTCCCAATGTTGTTCAGTCAGTTGTTGATGTGTCAATAACCACATGTGAAGTAGATCATTATAGGAAGTGTCACTTCACTGAATCATGTAAATTGCTTAATTTCACTGTTGTCCTAATGGAAATGTGGGTAATGGTGGCATAACTGTGTGCATGCAAACACAGACAGAGCATCTCCTGCTGAAACCACTTCAGTGTGTTTGCTGAGCTCCGTCCTCGATGATCTTTTGTCTGTCAAAAGCTCTTAGCGCTTCCATCCAGAGCCCTCTGCTCTCTGCATTCATTATTAATGGACCTCAGCAGGCTGAGAAGACACACACACACACACACCACATCACACCGAGAAAGACACAGGACCTGCACGTCACTGGTTTCTATTTTAGACCAGATATTAAATCAAACTCTCCAAATATAAAGGGGGGAAACCTTCATTGGTAAAACAGGGATGCATGAGGATAGGACTGATGGAATATATTTACAAACTGATGCCCCTCAATTAGAGCTGGTTCTATGAGTATACAAATAAAAGAGTCCCCAAATGGACATGAAGAGCTTTCAAATAAAGTGCAGCATGCTGTGGTCAAACACAGGAGACCTCCACTTTATCAGGGACACTGCATTTTACTTTGACTCTTTTAAACCTTTCATGCAAATTTACTATTGGGCCAAGCTAGCTAAAGATCATGAAAACATGACCAAATCAATGACCTAGCTCTATGAAAGAGTGCACTGAGTGGAAATATGTTTCCCTGTACTTTTTGACAGGTCAGAGCAGAACAGTGCTGCTCTGTAATGATGACCATTTTAGTTTATCCAATGAAGCCTTTATTTTTGATATCTGTTTACTAAGTTGACTGTGGTCAGAGCAGGCAATATCCCAGAAACACCAACTGTGACATGTAGAGAAATACAATACAGGGAGCTTTTTTTATATATATATATATATATGTACAAATCATAAAGGTACAGTGCATAGACGTGAGAATATTTTGCAATATCTAGTGGTCAGACTCTAGACCACTGATGATGGAGTGATGGTGGCCTGCAAGAATGAAGAGCTCAGCATGTCACCAAGGCGGACACACTCCTGTCAACAATTCCATTATTGCCCACCAATCAGTGGCTATGCCTTCAGAAACAAAATAAACATCTGTGTCATGCCCAAAAATACTCAAACCTGTAGTTAGGGATTGAACTGTCAACCTTTTAATCATGAGCAGTGACCCACTCTCCCAGCTGAACAGATGCAGTATGTTCAGAACAATAATATCCACCTTATGCAACATTCTCTTTTATTTGTTACTATTCTTCAAATGTTACAGACATTTTTAGGAAAGGCATTTTGGGAAAAAATGTAGCTGTACTTCTCTGTAGCTTAAATTGAGGACTTCAGACAAGTTACGAAATCTTCACATTCATCTAAATGAAGTCCAAAACTGAAACTGATACAATCAAATCAGCCACAAAGACAGAGCTGTTCCCACTTTGTGTATTTGGATGTAACATTATTTTTAAAAAAGCTTATTTGTCTCAGTGTCTCTTTGTCTAGTGTGACTAAAGGGCTTCTAAAGCATCATAAATCCAGATAAATGAGGTTTTTCTGTTAATCCCATTTCTGACTTGAAGGCAGCATTTCATCCACAAACTCAAACTGATACTGATTAATTTGGTCAAAAAGGCGTCAGAGCATCATCTCGTCCTGACTTCAGACGGTCATTAGCTGCCAGACTCAGACCATGAAGCTCTCTGATTGGACGTTTCTTTCTGCAGCAGACTCATGGACTCTGTTTGACCTCTGTCCTTAAGCCGTTGTGTTCCCCATGTCTTGTAGCTTTGACTTTTCGTTAGCACAGCGGATTTTCTTGGTTGAGTGTGTCATTGTTTGAGATGATGTTGAAAATAGGAGAGAGAATTTTGTCCGTTCCAGTTAGAAACGCTCCAACAGTCGGTCAAATAACATGTTTTTATGGGAAAGTTAAAGGAGGTGTTGATGTCTGCCCATGTATGTGTGTGCATGTGTGTTTTTCGATGTGACCTTTCTCCATATGGTGTGGGACTGAGCAGGGGGACAGGAGGTGAGCCCTGCACATGCTATCAGTCTGAACTGTTAGCCAGCAGCCCCCCCAACACACGCACAAACACGCACACACATGCTGCAGGGCCTACATGTCATTGTTACCTGATATTCATGGTGTGTAGGAGAAACAGACCAAGGAGAAGGTCATACGTGTGATGTCAGAGGCGCTGCGTTCGCTGCCAGCCGTGGGTTTGATAGCCGCTCAGCCTCAGGCTCTCTCTACCCTCTGTCCCCCCCGCCGCCCACCTCCCACAATCCTCAGCATCAGTCCAGCCCCCGCCAGGAGACACACAGACCTTTCTATTTTGGATTTCTAGTCCAAGTGGAAACAATGCTCCAGTATTCTGCCAAAAATCATGAATAGAGGCTATTTACTGCGTCAAAGTTAGCAAATATTTATGTTGCTGGGATGATAAATAATGCATATAACACACAGAGTACAGCGGCACAGTTGTAATTTTAGGGAGTCCTGCAACAGCCTCCAGGAAATCCTACAGGAAAAACAACTTCCAGTGACATTAACATAACAGAAAAAGCTGCATAAATTATGTCCCAAAGTCCTCTTTATGACCTTTCCATGCATGTGGTATTTTCAAACTGTAGCAGTGCAAATTAAAATGCAAATCAAATAAATTAAGCGAGAATAATACTGATGTTAAACAGATGTACTCTGTTATGGCTATAATTGGTTTCTTTAAATATTGTAATAATCTGAGATAGAAGCTGTTTTTACTGGCTGATTCACTGAATTGTAAATTAGTGGGACAGATATAACTGTTTACTGCAGGGGATACAAGATTTACTGACTTTCTTTACTGAGTGATCTGTACGTCTGGTGTTTTTCAGTTTTATTAACTTAAAATCTTTAGGGAAGAGGCCAAAGTTAATATTGAGTTGCTGTGGTTAACATCAAATCTCTTCCACAAGGCACGAATCATTCTGGCTGAACCTGCATTTAGCCAGAGTTACATGTAATTTTACAATTAACAGGTTGTAGGGTATGGTATTTTCTGGTGTGGTGTGGTCCACATTCATGATAAGCATATCAAACCACATCTAAGTATTTTTAAAACCCACAAACTTTAATTTCAATCAGCAACCTTGACCTGCCGTATGCGTTAGCAAGGGTTAAATTGCATTTCTTTGCACCTCTGTTTATTTTTTCACTCACTCCTATTATTAAGCACTTGCTTGTTTAAATTCCACTCTAGATAATCTGATGTCTATTTCATAATCTCCAGTATTACTTTCCAGATGCATTAGCATTGACTGATCTAATTAAAGCAAAGATTTAATAGCCTCCTTCGCCATGCTTGACTTGATATTGTATTACACGCAGCAATTACTGACAGGAATACCAATGCAAACAAATCACAGCAACAATCTGGACAAAAGGCTAAGCAGAAGGTTTTCCTCACAGCACTCATATCAGCTTTGCAAAAGACATTGTGACTTGGCGTCATCTTTGCTTTTGTACATACATGAGTCTCTTATTCAAGTTTGCCTATGAAGCAGTGTAACCCCTGCAGAAATAACTTTGATTTATGTTCATATGCAAATGAGCATCCTTAAGGAAAACAGACATTCTTTTAAAGAGCAGAAGAAAGGGAGAGAAGGAGAGAGAGAGGGGGAAGTTCAGCTTATCATCACTCAACAGATGTTCAGACTAAATGTGTTGGTTTGTCTGTCTCGTCACTGAGGCTGAGCGGAGCAAAGCTCCAGCGCTGGCCTGTCTGAATGAACCAAGTCAACCAGCTGCAGCTAAGAAAAATTTCTATAGTGGCTGTAATTTGCTCCAGTGGCAGAGGTGGAAGGAGCCAGGGGATCAGGATGAGAACCGTCAGCTGCCAACGGCCTTTGGCCAAACAGAGGAAATTCATTTTGCGAGCACATACAGTACAGGCACTATGCTGCAGGACAGTGCAGACGCCAGGTAGCTCGCGAAGAAAGTGCTGAGTCCACAGTTATGAAGCTGTGGCCTTTCCCCCTCTCAGTACACAAAAACAAACATCAGAAAAAAAATGATATCACTTCAGGATTTTCGGGCTCCAGTTTAGGTTTGAAGGATTGGTTTTAATATCTCTGACTTTTCAAAGCAACATCAGCTACAGTTGTCTTGTTTTCCCCTGTTGGAGGAGGAACAGAAATTCAATAAAACAAGTGTTGCAGGTGTTTGGGATCAAAGACGCAGCCAGATCGACTTAAGAGTGTCATGTAGGCCTCAGAAGTGCAGTTTTGAGTTCAAGCAAGAGGATTCGGGCAATACAAGAAACACAAACGTGAAGAGAGGAGAGGTGTTGCCTTTTAGCTACAAAAAGTAGGTTAGCGACCTAATGTTTCTGGCTCTAATCCCTTGAGGTAATGTGGCAGGTGCCCTTGACCAAAGAGGACCAGCAGACCGACAACTGTGGTTCTGCGGCTCTGTTGCCAGAGTCTGTCACTCTATATTGGGTGAAAAAAGCACAGATGTCCCTGTAATCTCTGGATAAAGGTTGAATAAACAATTACCGAAATACCTACTTATTTCTCCCTCCTTATCTTCTTTGCTTCGCCTTTGTCTCTGTGTTTGACTTTCTCTCTATCATTTCGCACGCCTTCCTCCTCCTATCTTGCGATATAACTTCCATGGCTGGTTGATTTGGGTGAGCAGAGGGAAACAGGCAAGGCGTCCACAGTTCAGGGCTCCAGAGAGTTTGCCCAGGCAGCAGCAATCAATCACAGACTAAATCCTTCTTCTCTCAGGACTGCCGTGTGCCAGGTGACATGGTCAACAGCTGCAGAGAAATATAAAGCCTGCAGTGGGTATCTGAATTCCAAACACTTGCTCAGACAGTGAACCAATGACAGAGTAATTATAGAAGCTTCACTTTTTGAGCTGAAAATATGAATCGAATTGGATTTATATTTCCATCAGTTGATGATTGACCTCTTTCGCCTGATGAAATGTTGGATAATTATGCTCAGAAGCTGTGCTGCTTTGATATTAGGGTTTGTTGTCTTTTCTATATTGGTTTTTCTCCATCTTTAAAGATTTCTTGTGTTTCTGCCTTCACATAGACAACTATGGAGCTGTTTTATGTTGCGCTAATCCACAAGTAACAGGTGCTGCTGGCAGAGGCACAAAGAAGTGTGCTAACAAAGACATAAAAGACTCCTTGCAAGCAGTCATGAATGTAAATTATGCAGGTTTCAAGCTTTAAAAAAGTTTGGGACACATCTTATGAGGATATACAATCAGCACATTTGTGAAAACTCTGATATACTCAATGCATTGTGAAAGCTCCTGGAGAGGCTTTGACAAAGTAAGGCAAGTTACTGAAGCCTAACTGGGCCTTAGTCGTAGAGGGTGCAGATTAAAGGGTCCTAGTTTTTGGGTCATGTTGGACGGTGTCAACAAACAGTGAAAAGTAACTTGGTTTGGTAACTTCCAACCCAAGAAAATCAAACAAAATTTCCCAGACAGAAATGACAGAGGTTTGCTGTTACTGGGATTGCTGTGCATTGCGGTGTGTATCAACAACAGACTGTATAAAATTTGTACAAGTGATTAATTGGATTTTGAAGCAGAGTCTTGAAGTCCATTGATGTTAGTTGCTGTATTAGAAATGCCGAACCAACCAAACCTTTAACTTGACAAGAGGCAGAGGTGGAGTTGAGGTGGGCCTTAAGTTTCCTCAATAGCATCAGGGCCCACCAATCAGTGAAGTCAGCTACACCCACTTGAAACCAATATCATCAAAACTAATGATTAGGAAAAATTATTTATTATATGCTTCAAAGGTATGCCAATGAGGTTGAATGGTGACCTTAAGTTGCCCATAGGTGTGAGTGTGACTGGCTGTTGGTCTCTATATGCCTGCCCTGTGATTGGCTGACATGGCCAAGTGGTGGTCAGGGCTTCAGCAGTAGCTCCCTTGCATTGAGTCCTTTAAACTTTATGTTGTCAAATAATTTTGCGTTTTAAAACTTGACCGGAGAATGGGTATAAATTGAAGTAAAGTATACTGATGTTTAACAATGGGCTTCCTGTGTTTTGCTTCCTTGCAGACATGTCTAGAGTTGGAGCGATATCTACAAACAGAGCCCAAGCGACTCTCGGAGCTCTTTGATGAGGAGCTGGACTGTCTCTTAACGCCAGCCTTCATGCAGGGTGGCGACAGTGACGAAGACCTGATGGACCCCCTCCTTCCCAGTCTTCCAGACCAACCCAGCCCGCCTCCGTTACTGGTAACCCTCCCCAAGGTCCAGGCCAAAATCCTCCATGTGCCCAACCCCAGCAAGACCCAACTAGAGGCCGGGACTGAAACCCTGACCACAAAAGACAACGTCCTCGCAGGAGTCAGTGCCGCACAGCTCAGCGCTGCTGTAACATCCCTAACGCCGCCTTCGTCACCGGAGCTTGGTCGCCATCTTATTAAACCCACGCAAACACTGACTGCCACGGCAGATGGCACGCTAACACTCAAACTTGTGGCGAAGAAGGTCGGGCTAGGAGCAGCTAAACTCGTGGCAGCCCGAGCGCTACCATCGCCGCCGAGCCGAGGAGGAGCTCTCAGCGACAGCGAGCAGGGAGGAGGAGGAAGTCTGGGAGGAGACGTACCAGAGAACAAAAAGAGAGTCCACCGGTGCCAGTTCAACGGCTGCAGGAAGGTTTACACCAAGAGCTCCCATCTGAAGGCACATCAGAGGACTCACACAGGTAAAGACCTTCATTTTATCATCGCATGTACCGCATGACCGTGTCCCCATGGCAGCTATCTTCTTGGGTCGGCTCAGGGTGGGAAACTAAGGTACCATTATCACGACTCATTGCTATGTTCCAGATCATAAGCCATATAAATCTCGGCAATCTGACATACTGTGGATAAATTGCTGCTCCCCAAGTGATTAATAGACTCAAATCAAATTCTTGACACATGTAAGAATTAAGTTAACAGCATGACTTTTGATCTGGCTTGCAGTAAAAATACATGATAGAGCGTGACATCATAAGAAGGCGGCTGCGGCAGGAATAAAGTCTCCATCTGCAGCCTGTCACAAGTCATTTTTTCTGTACCATGTGAAAGTTGGCTTTAACAAGCAAGAAAACCAACAAAATTTGTAAATGTACTTGTATTTTTTGCCACAGTCCTTTGTAAACATGGCAATGCCAACATTTTTGATCTGCGTTTAAATCAGTGGTTCTCAATCCAGTCCTCGAGCCCCCCCTGTCCTGCATGTTTTGGATGTTTCCCTGCTCCAACACACCTGATTCAAATGATCAGCTCGTTATAAAGCCATTTCAGAGCTTGATAACGAGCTGATCATTTGAATCAGGTGTGTTGGAGCAGGGAAACGTCTAAAACATGCAGGACGGGGGGGCTCGAGGACTGGATTGAGAACCACTGGCTTAAATAGTTCCTACAAATTTCTGATTTTAAAAAGCCAGTTCATGCCAGTTTGAGGACCCCACAGCAAAAAATAAAGACATGGCAACCAAGTAATTTTAACGCCAAGCATTGCACCAATCTTGGTTGTCCAGTTGAGTCAGATGACCTCAATCCCATTGAGCGTGTGTTTCACTGCCAAAGACCAGACTGCAGGCAAATGAGCAGCCTTGAAATAAAAGCAAATCTGGCTGCTGTACAGGCTTGGCAAAGCTGCAGCAAGAAAAGATACCAATCGTCTGATGGTGTCTGTGAGATCTGGCATCAAATATTTAAAATTATGACCTTGTTCAAGTTCATACAACTTGCCCGGTAACTTTCTGTCCAGAAGATTTTGGTGGCCATAAATGAAAGTGACTAAAATCCCTGCACTGTTGACACAGTTTAATTACAAGCAATCCATTCAGAGCCCAGTGTGATTGGATTCAGAGCCAACACAATTAAAATATGTCAGTGTCCTGAAACCACTGCCAGCCTTGTTGTTCCACAAAATATTTCAGCATTGTTCTGAAACCTGAAGCTTTGAAAACGCCGAGCAGAAAACACAGAACATACAGATAACCCAGTAGATACTACACTTATCATCAGCTGGTTTGGTCTCAGAGTAAACCCGCAGAGACAACATATCTTACCTCAGGGCATTTCTTTTTTTGGGAGATAAGGACCTTTCCTCTCCCTTTCCTACCTCTCTGTTGATCCTCCAGCTTTATTAATTTCCTTGTGAGCCTTGATTCCAGCTCAGTGCCAAAAAACCTTGCCTCGGTAATTGCCTGATGATTGATAGAGTGGTAGTAAATGACATTGCGAATTCAGCCGTGTCTGACACGCAGCTTTGCCTGCTAACTACAGCTGCCCTCTTAGTGACCCTCGGACAGAACACACACCACGCTAATGTGTCCAGGAGCTATTTACCATGGGCTTTCTGAAGCGTTAGTGTGTGGACAAGGGGGTTGATGAAGAAGACACGTAAGTGAAAATTGATTTGACTGATGCAGATTAAGATGAATGGGTGATTTGCTTCATTTATAAGAGTAATAGCTCATTACAGGTATATAAAAAAAGTAGAACAAAAAACAAGATCTTTTTTGTGTTGAGTTTTGGGTGAAGCCTTTTTTTTTTCTTGTTTGACATAAACGAGAAAAACTGACTAATGAGGCCAAACTTCAGACCAAGAGCAGCCCTGCTTCACGGAACAGAGTAGAATTAGAGGGACAGTGTGTATTAGGTTGGTGTGTAGAAGTAGATAGATGAAATGAACTACCACTCAGATGCCAGATTACATCCTAGTGGTTGATAATACTTCGAATGAGGATAATATCACTCTGTTACACTCATCATGTAACAGAAGACATTGGTCTACATCTTGAATCCCCCTGGTGCTGCGGTTATGAGTGACAGCTGGCTTCAACCATGACAAGTGACTGACGACTATTGCGAACAATTTGGCATTCAGAGATTTACGTCATAGTTGTTGGGCGACCCCGCTTTCTCACATGAACTTTGAAGGGAAAAAAAGAGTCATTTATCAAAGTTCACAGCATTGAGACTTGAGATTGTTTGATTTACATTTGTTGCTTACAGCAACTATCCTGCTCTTAAAGTGATGAGATTTATAAACTCTCAGGAGTCCAGTAATTTATTTCAGAGTCTAAATTTCCTCTAGATTGGACATATTTAGGCCCATAAAGGTAACCAAGGCTGAAATCTGCGATTTATCTGCAGCATGAGGCATGCACAGCCTTGTACCACCTGAAGCTAGCATTAGTCAACTCTAGCTTCAGCCGCAGCATCATTTACAGTATGTGTATTGGTTCATGGCCTCCAGTCGTCATCATCTAGTGTTTGCGGTTTCCTTGGTGTTCACCAGGATAACACTTCATAGCCTGAAGACCTTTTCCTTTTCCCTGTATTAGCACTGGCAACCTTGGCATCATTAATCCAGCGTGTTACAGGCTTATATATGATCCCAGCGACCATCACATGGCTTTGAGTGTAGTGCTGCATTATAGGGCAGCACCTAGCGTAGCCTCGGGACCCCCCATGCTGCAGCTTTATTGTAAGTAATCTAGCAAACAGCAGCTAGCTTTCTGTTAGCCTGGCTGTTCGCTGCAGTATCTTCAATCTTCTGGTGATTCCACAGTCGAGTCATGCCAGCCAACGATGAGCTTTTAAAGGCTGGATCATTAACCAAGAAAAGCAAGACACCCTGAAGCGATGCAGCCTCTTAGCTCTGTATGTGTGTGCATGTGTGTGTGATATAAATGTGGGGGCGGCGTATTCCCTCCCGATGTGTTCGCTACAAGCGCAGCACTGTGGTTTAATTAGCTTAATCCTCTTTTTGGGTTATTATGACCATAAATCATTGAACATACATGTAGGGAGGGATTAGCGTAGCAGAGACTACGGGGAGGAGCAACTGCAGAAAGCCTGCACAACATCAATGCACTTACTGTCACAGAGAGCACACCAGAGGCCATTAGAAACATCATTACAGTGAGGTCTGTCAGGAGGATACAGTGCATGTGCTGCAATTTCACATAATGTTGGTAATAATACTCCTCTGTTTATATCCAATACTATTTCCCTGAGCTCCAGCTTTGATTTCAATTCAGGTTTATATCCTGATACTGCATGAAAATGTCCAATTAGAGATGAGCTGTTACATTAATACATGCGCAAATTAATTCAGTAAAGCTCTGCAGAACCCTGTTAGGGAATTTCAGTGCAACAGCCAAGGTTTTTTGGTCGTCATTGTCACTCTCTTGGATCTGGTGGGCTCTCTAAAATAACAGTAGATGGCTAATAATTGTATCATCCTTATTACTGAAGCAGCAGTCCAAAAACAATTCACTTAACTACATACTTGGCAGCTGAGATAGCGGGATAGATGAGCAGTTTGGAAGGAGTTTAAGAGTGTCTTTCAAATGTCCTAGCTGTACTTAATGAAATGTTGGAAGGGAGCATTTACTCAGAGTGTGGGCGCCTGTCCTACAACATACCTAGTAAACACACTGCAACAAACATGAACACGCTTACATTCTAGGAAGTACACTAAGCAGCTGTCAGATGTCTATATGCTTGTAACGCAGAAATAAAACAGACAAGTTAAGCTGAAAACAAAGACTGAAAATGGGGGAATGCTAGTTTAGCTGTCTGTGATCTGTCAAGTTTGCATGAGTCAGAATTAAACGGCAGAGCCATTTTCAGTATAAAACAGAGTAAGAAGTTGGAGTCTCTTTCTCCAAACTCTTCAGTCAGCCAGAGATTTAAGAATTAACCATCCCCTCAGTTAAGATTTTTGTACTCTGACATTTCTTGGGGCTGTAAGTGTGTCAACATGTTCACGCAGCACCTGAGACATCTGACAGTTCAATGCAGTGAGACATTTAAATGCTCTCTGTGACATTTAAGGTTTGCAAACAAATATTTTTTTACTTTTTTGAAACCATGAGTGACGCATGCAGTGATCCATTTCACTTTTATTCCGCTATTTAGAATTGATACTTCAAAATTAGTTTTTCTGTCTTATAAATGCAAGTACTCTTCACCGCCTGGCTTTTTGCTCTGCTTCACACATTGTCTGCTCGGTTTGTCTTGGAGAGTTACTCATGAGCGTTCTTTTGATTGTGAAGGGGAGTTTCAGCTCTTTTCTTAAAGACACAGGCACCAGGAAACAGTGTGAAGTTTTAATGTTTTCACAAAACCACTTCACTGATGATTCCTTTAGCCAGTAAGAACTAAATTTGTCACCTGTTCCTAAAACCCGGGCTGTTCTCTGTAGAGAACCTTTACAAGGCTTTAAACCACAAATTGTAAATAACACAACAGTAGGCAATGTAACAACAGCTAACGTATGCTAACATGGCTAAATGGTGGGCTAATTGGGAGTTAACAGCAAGCCTTGGAAATTTTCTGTAGGAGCATTACTTCCTGGTTGTTTCATAACTGCAAAACTGTGCTAGACTTAATACTCGTATAACTGGAAAAACAGCCCAATAGTAGGGTATTTTTTCATAAGGAACATGATCACTCTTTTTTTTTTAACAGTGAAATATGTCACTTGATGTGAATATTTGCAGTGGAAAATATTAACAGAGGAGGTTTTGGCAGCTTACTGTTACATACTGCATCAGACATCTATCTCGAAGCAGGGTTTACAAGCACTTAAATCTACCATATAGACAATAAGCCTGGTCGCTGGTGGCCTTGTCTGCTGTTGTTGTTCACATAGAGGAATCACTGTCATTTTCAGTCTGTCATAACCATCTAAAAAATCCTTACAGGTGTTATAAGAAAAGAAAATATGTATACAATTGTAAAGCGCAGTTTGCAGACAAGATAACTGAAACATCATGTATGATTGTGTACATGTGCCAGGTGTAGTTCACAGCTTCAAACGTAAGAGATAACACTTGTACCGTCTGTTGAGTCGGACTTTTTAAGAAACCTGACTCTACCCCCGCCCTCAGCAGGTAGCTTTACAACCTCATGTTGGAAAACCCCCTGCTGTAACCCCAGACCTTCACACACACACACACACACACACACACACACACACACACACACACACACACACAAACCCTACTCCACTATACACCCACTGAATCCAACCTCCAACCTGCTTGCTCGCTCGCTCTCTCTCCCTCTCTTTCTCTCTCTCTTCTTGTTCATTCACTTTGGGTTGCCAAGCAACTGCATCACACTCTCCCATAATTGGTTGGTGGCTGCTTGATTGTCCATGCCTGTTAATCTCTCTCTCCCTCTCGCTCTCTCTCCCTCTCTTACTCACCCACCCCCCTCTCTCTCCTCCTCTCAGTTGCTAGGTGACTTTATCACGCATCCTTGCCTTGCTGTGCTGTAATTGGCTGGCGTCATGGTTGCTGTGGCGTCAGGCCCGAGCTGGCCTTGCCTCATTCCTCTGACAGTGTGTGTGAGTGTGTGTTATAGCATCTATATGAGTGTGTGTGTGTTTGAGGGGGGTCCTATTGAAGGAAAAGAGGGTTCTCTGGCCAATTATAGAAGACGGGTGTGAAACGGCCGCCTGTCTGGCACCTGCGGCCCCCACTCATACCCCATATCACACACACGTACACTTACACAGGCACACACAGACATGCAGGTTGAAGTGTAGCATTTCTCCAACAGGATAAGCTGCCAAGTGGTTTTCTATTGTATGTAAAAAATATTGGTCCTGTATTCAGTCCTGAGTGAGGAGAACTCAGAGCAGTGAGTAGGAGGATTCACACTTCCACATCTCGCTGCTGTTGATTCAACACAGAGGGTTTCAGGTTTGCTTCAAAACTAGAAAGAGTCTGTCAAGACACTGAATGTGTTTCAGAAGACTTTTACCTGAACGAACACATTTGTATATTTTTCTCATTGAAGGAGATTAATTTATAAATCAATTATTTTTAAGATTAAACCTGAATTTTGTGCATCAACCATCAGAGACCAACCACCATCACTTCAAACCAATGCTTCTCATTAATGACGTAGGAAACCTGCTTTTGCAAATCTGTGTGCAGAAATGCAGTTTGAATCTTTTAGAGGCTACAAAACCGAGTACTCACGAATAAAGTTAATGTGTTAAAAGATAGAAGAGGTATCTCCCATATTGTTTCATGCATCATCTCCCTTTCCTTTTCCCGAGCTTCTCTCTTTTCCACCATGTTAAATACATTATCCACTACATAATACACAGTATATACTGTCGAGCTCACTATTTACATTGTTTACTGTGCAACAAATGTTGCCTACCATGTTATAGGCATAAGTCACAGTGTGATATGCATTATCAACCACATAATGTACATTACTTATTATTCAAAAAACGTTATCCACAGTGTTACATACATTTTCACCTGGAATACACAATACAATACCATGCCGTACCATTTTTTGCTGACCTGTGAACTTTATCTACTGTGCAGTACACATTATTCAATTTCCAATAAACATTTTGCACTTGATAGTTTTAAGAAACTGCATGATCCAGCTAAGGTGCACTATCTGCGGTCCAAATAAAAAATGTATCAATACACAATATCTACTTGCACTATAGCAATATTAACTATCTACCTTGAAATGTACATTTAACTGTATGCTTTTTATGTTGCAAAACCATGTTTTCTAATCAATATACATCGTTTAACATACAAAACACTCTATTTACTATGCACCATACTACACAATAAACATCATTTATTCCTGTTGAAGTCTTGTGTCCCTGAAATGGTCACAGTAGGTACATAGAAGAAACAGTCGAGCTGTTGAAACACAGCAAGTTCCTGGTGCTCCTCCTCAGGGTTCAGACACATGCTGGTAAATTAACTCCCCCCCTAGATTTTTCCAAGTCTCTTTTCCAGTTCTGTCTTTCTCCCACACATTTCTCTCTTCGCTGATGTCTAAGATATTTAGCAGTTTGACAATGAAGAGGAAGAAAACTATTTCGGAGACATCCTCAAGTGTACTTCATTTTCCTACACTAGAGGTTGCTGCTTGGGTTACAGAAGAAAACTGGATTTTGAACCACCTCCAACTGGCATCAGTAAATTAATAATAAAGACTCGATGAACATAAGTTGTCCTGTAAACAAACCACCCAGATAATCTGTATCTGCCCTCCTATTCCTTTATACCACCCTTCCAACCTTGTAGCCCCTTTCACACTTAATTGTTATGATACAGAGCCTTTATTGCCACAGTTAAAGCCACTAATTGGCAATCAAGGTTACAACCCTTTGTTACAACCCATTAGGCTTTTATGGTCAAAGCTCTGATAGCATGCCAATCTCCAGTAGAATACAGCATAAGATTAGCATTGTAGCTCTATAATTTATTGGAATTTATTGGACAGTGCGACCAAACAGTAATTTTTCTATCTTTCCTTGTCAAAACCTGGCATCTACATCACCCACAATGCAACTCAACGGCTCCAAAACAGTGTCAGGTATTTAATGCTAGAAGTGGCGGATGTAGCCTGGAGCTCTGAGCCTCAAGATAGTGAAAAGGAGTGGACCACAAACTTTCAGCTTCTTTCACATCGTCTATACTTTGATACCCCCAAACCCTTTAATAGTCTTTGATGTGTAAAACCAGTGGAGTTTTATCTCTAAGATTCAGGCATGTTGTTGTTGATGGGGAAAAATGATTGTTGTCTTTCATCTGATCCAGTGGTTGTTGAAGTTTTACAGTGTTGGATAACATTTTGTTAAAAATGGATAGAAACCACCCCTGAGCGTGATTCAGGTTTTGTATGAGATTGTTAAAAGTAGCCCTTGATGGAAAATCAAAGCAATAAGAAATGACAGTCAAACAGAGGATACTGAAATATTGATTTTTCTGCAACAATTCAGGAAGTTGTGCAGAAAGAGGAAAAAGGTCTTCTTCGATAAAATGCACAGCACTGAAGCAGCAACAAAAGCCAGATCCCTGTTGTGGAAATCAGCAACTGACTGCTGGAGATTTGACTGGAGAATTTGAATATGCAAATCCAGCAGAGAGCAGCTCATGATGTGGAATTCATTTAGTCTGAGAACAACTACGTCACCTTGCAGTCACGTTGTATTAGTGGATGAAAGACGACTGGGATCAAAGGGACACAGGAAGTGGGGGAAATAAAGTGGAAGAGGGCAGCGCTCATAGTTGGATGTTTCTGAAGCACATCATCTTTTACCTGTCGTTGCATCACCTGTCTCTGAGAGCTGCTTTCGCCTCACATATTTGTCCACGGAGGGCTACTTTTACAGCGAGTGTTATTTTGGAAACATGATTCAAAGCAATGAAATTAGGAAAATAAAGTTGAGAAAAGCAATTTCAAGAAGGCGTGGAAAAACGGCCCAAAAATTAAGAAGGTGCGTCTTTAATTTAACAAACATTTTCCTAACAGAGTGAGTCTTTTGTTGAGGGTCCCAGTTTTCTTTGACATGCAAATGTGCAAAAGCAACAGCAATATATCTCTGGAAATATTTCCATATACTGAGAATTATTTCACATTGGTTTACACACAACACCTAAAGCCTGTTCATCTCAGCTGCACTGAAAATCACAGCAACAGAAGAAGACATATATCTACTTCATTGGTTACGATGTAATGTCTACAAGATATCCAAGATGGTGGATATCCAAAGTCAGACGTTGCACTGACAGTTTTTTGTCTTTATATCAGAAGATATATATAGCATCAATTACCAATGAGCAGTACATAAAATTTTACCAAGCAGCTTCCTCACAGGCACAAACACGGTACATAGCAATGGCGTCCCTGCCTGGTAATCGTCAGCCACATCTCTGTTTACCAATCCTTTAAACTTAATAACTGTGAAACCAACTCATCGCCAAAAACTCCCTCTGGCAGTGCACAGGTCTGAAAACTCTTAACTCCTATTTTGTTTGTTAAATATGCAAATTCAAACTCTCCCCTCTCTAAAAACTTAAGCACTGATAAACACTCCCCTTTGGTTTTGCAGCCAGTTACTCTTCCAGCACATTGTGAAACACTTTGGTTTTCGCATTAGTTCCACTTAGTTTTGGATCGTGTGTGTTTGTGTTTGTCTCCTTAAGAAGATTGGTGTGTGCTGTGATGGCAGAGCAAGGGCTGCTGGGACATCTGGCTAACTGAGTGTAAGCTGCTATATTACTCCCCATTAGGAGTCATTAAGACCCCAATTATAGTTACCACCCCCCAGTTCACTCACAGGCACACACACCAGGGGTCTGCAGTTTGGTTTCGCCGCCTCTTTTTTAACAGAGCGTGCAGAGCAGAAAGGCCGGAGACTTTCCTCTTTGTTGGTACTGCAGATATTTGAGAATTTGAAGCGAACTGACTTGGTTGGTGTATCAGCAGAGTCCAGGATTTTTCACTCTTAATTGATCTAAGGCAAATTAAATATTGGAATATTCATGTGTTATGTGCTGGCTGTAAATACTAATAAACTTCCATTTCTTGAATACATTATAAGGACTGTGTATTTACATCCAAGGACATGCACACAGCAGTTTTGTCATTTGATGCATGCTTTACTTTTGTCTGTCTACACACTGAGAGTAACACTAAAAACTGAGTCAAATGCATTGTATGCATACTCATATATGGCCATCTACACTTGTTTAAAAATGAATTCCCAAAAGGAGTTCTCTGGAAAAAATGCACTTGAGCCCATTATACCAAAATTGGCTACTTAAGTCAATTCAGAAAGATTGAAGAACAACAAACTCTTTCAGCCTTAATTTCTTTAGCTAAAACTTTGTTCCAGTTGCATTTTTTCCAATCACAAAATTAGCTTCCAAAATAAAAGTGCAAAAGATGTTAAAATGTACATTACAGGGTTGTTTTTATATACTCAATATACAGGCAAAAGAGCCTTTTAAAACTTACATTTTGATAAGTTGCTCCAAATAAGCATATGTGAATCCCAAAAGCAAATGGCTCATGGCAGAGAGCAGAGGTGGTTCTGCGGCATGTATTTCTTTTCATGTTTAATGTTTTTACAATACAGGACATGAAGCAGCTTAAATGCACGACAGTAAAAATGTCTCAACAAAAGTATCACAAACAGTCATCTCTAGAGATGAATGATGCCATGTGAGAAAGTCAGCAGCTGTTATGAGTGAAGTTCATGAGGTAACATGTTGCTCCTCTGTTGTCTTGTCTTTCCTTACCTTGATTGATTGTGTTGGGGTTTTGCAGTAATTTCATTGTCATTAAAATATCTCACCATGATAATTGTTCAGTGAAAATAGATATTATAGCACCTCCAGCACAGCGTGGAGGAATGGTAATATGATGGTATATCTAGTGGTCAGATTCTAAGTTGAAATATTGTCTTTATATTACATACTGCACCTTAAAACAAGGATACATAACAAAGTGATTTAGCTGACTTAAAATTTTCACTTGCATCCACCCAAACCTGAGTACACAGCTAAAAAAAAGTACTGATTGGATTGAGACAGAGGCGGTGGCTGCTCCCTGCTCCATGTCGGCGGTGCTGACAAGGCTTTGTGACAGGAGGACTCTTCTCTACTTTCCTCTCTGTCAATAAAGCACTCAGAGAGGAATTTATTGCTTTAATCGACTTTATTCTCTATGAACACTTATTGGAAAACTCATAAAACACATATTGGATACAATAATGTTGCAGCTGTAAAATCTTTGCAGAGTTGTAAAATTCAAACTTATGAGATGATAAAACCTTTGTACAGCATTTTGGTGTCTAAACTCTGCAAACTGGACCCCCTGGACTGTTTATTTTCTTGCTTCTGAATCCAGACTGCGTGACTTATATAGCTAAAATGAAATGAAGCAAAGCAACTATATGCTCAAACAAGCTCATAACAGTAAAGAAATGAGATTTCCTGTGAACAGCTCTGCACGGCAGCGGGGGGTCGTATTCAGTGAGAGATGACATGTTTAGTCTTACTGAAACACAGAGTGAAGACTCAAAACTGCAGCTGTGTTTGGAAAAATGCATCTGCTTGCAGTTTGATAAATAATCCATGGATGTTTTCATGCAGTAAGTTACGATACAATACGATTGACAAGATAAGATACGATACAATACGCTATGACACAATGTAATATCATCCAAGGCCATCTTTTGGTTAGTCATGGCCACACTGAGCCTGCATACCCTGTTGGTTGCTTGGTTGCAGAAAATACTGTAAAGGACCAGCAAAGGCATAAACTAAGACCAGGGATGTACCTGCTTTAGCTGACACAGTAGAAAAGTCACTAAGAAAATCACATGGGAATACAGCACTAAATAGAGCCATAAAATGTAGACACCTTATCACGGTTTGGACCCAATCAGGAAGCCAAAGCAGTTGTCTTTATTGATGACTCAAAGTGTCTTTATTGATGGCTTAAAGGAGACATTGCAAACTCAGAACTTTTCAAAATAAAGCAGAATTGGCAGAGTTTTTAAAGGCCAAACTCCTTGTCTGTCCCCTCTGGCTCGCTGCCTGTGACCCACAAATCAATCCCAGCATGCCACAGTGATGGATGTCTCAATACTTTAAACTGTATGCATGTTGAATAAAGAGAACAAGGTGAGAGGTTGCTTGCTGGAGGAGATTTTGCACAGTTGTATCTTTTGGAGAAGCTTTTGGATGTTTAGACCGTGTGACACACAAGTATGACATGAACCTTATACATTTGTACAACCTGAAGTAATGATGCGAATGATGATGGAGTATCTACCTATAATTTTTCTGCTGCTTGTCCAGAACTGGGTCATAGTGGCAGCAGTCTAAGACAGTTGCACCAAACATTGGTATTCCTCTGAGCGTGCATCTTTATAGGATGCTTATACCATCTCTACTGGCATCTTTGATTACAGAAGTGAACCCTCAAGCTCACAATATAAGATAAGAATATTACAAAATAAGATAATCTTTAGTTTTTGAAAATCTGAACTATGAACTGAAATTTTAACACCTTAAAACAAAAACTTCGAAGCTCTTATTTGGCCTGATGCCGTGACTCCTCTCCACTTGCATTTTTTCCTCGCTTAAACTCAAGTTTCAAGGACTAAGACACAAACAGAGTAGGCAAGGAAAGGAAAGAAGTCGGCACAGTGTAAGAAAGAGAGAGAAGTCTCTGTTTTAGCAGTTCAGAGAGATGCTCGGAGTAAATGCAGCGAAAGTTCTGCATTTTCAAACGAACACATATCAGTGTGAATGTAGCCTAAGACTTCATCAAATCCCATCTGAAGTCAGTCTGCTGCACATACTACCCACACACACACACACCCCTAGCCAAGATACACACATGTACACTCACACACAGCTGGAAGGCTTTCTATCATGGAGAGATAACTACAGGCTGAGAACAATAGAGCATCTCTTCTCCCATCTGGTGAAGTGGGGGATGAAACTTAATTTACATTTCAGATCCCACCACCTCAGGGTGTGTGTGCTGTAAGTGTGTATGTGTGTGTGCCTATGTGTGTGTGTGTGTGTGTGGGCAGGGGGGGTGTGGAGGGTTGGTGATAGAGGGAACAAAACGAGATTCATTTCAGGGTGAATTTGGGATTATGAATTAACACGCCGCGGTGCTGAAAGACTTCATTTACAGCTAATTGAGTGTATTGGCTCATTGAAATGGGTGTTGTGTTAAAACTGGTCTGCGTGCCTGGGCCCCTAGGCTGTGTGAGTGTGTGTGTGTGTGTATGTGTGTGTCTGCCAGTCCATGTGTGTGTGTGTGTGTATGTGTAGAAAGCCAGGGGTGGTAACCTGTACATTAGCGAGCAGCTGTAGTTAAGACGTGTGAAATTAGATGTAGAAATTATAATAAAATGTGACACCTCCTTCTGTTTCCTCTCTCACTCTCTCTCTCTTTCTCTCTCTCTCTTTCTCTCTCTCTCTCTTTGGCAGGTGAAAAGCCGTATAAGTGCTCATGGGAAGGCTGCGAATGGCGCTTTGCCCGCAGTGACGAGTTGACACGACACTACCGCAAACACACCGGAGCGAAGCCATTCAAGTGCAACCACTGCGACAGGTAAACACAGAAAACACACACAGGCAGTGCCTATGTCCAAAAACAATGACAAACACTCAGTGTAGTTACATTTTCAGGACTTTTATGCCCTTAAGCTGTCAAGGACTAGTGTTGAACCTGTGTATCCCAGCACGGACAACTCCAAAAACCTTAAAAAAATGAGTTTTTGAGTCACATGGTTCAACAAAATGGAGATAAATTCAGTTAATGCATTTCTTATTTTTATTTAAGACTGCTTTTTTCATTTGGATAGATGTGGAAAATGTCAAAAGATATACTCAGTTGTAAGTAATAGAGTTCAGGAGGCTTTCAAGGTCTCGGTTTTGTGCATTGTGGCTCACCATTATTGCTTCACTGGGTCAAGTCCTAATGACTGCTTTGGAAAGGGCCAATATTTTAAGCATTTTGAATAATACACTAAAAGATATAAATCTTTGAACTCATGAAATAGTAAAAGATGCCTCAAACAATATCTCTCAGGCCTTTGACCAGATCCCAGCATCCCAATTATCTCCTGCTTGCTTATTTTGTGCTCTGCTAAGTTATACATCAAAGTTGTTTGCCAAATATGGTAGCTTTGCTCGAGCCCGAATCTTTAAAACATGGCATGATAGTTTCCCCCAGTGTCAGAGAGTATGGGTGAAAGTATGAATATCTGACAGGGCAGGTGGATAAATCAAATGAAAATGGGATTTTTAATCCATGAGACACTGAAAAACTTCTTTTATTCAAAGAATAGTCAAGAAATAGTCTTGTCTAATCATATCTTAACCAACAACAATGGCAGGTGAGCAATAGGACTTGTGTGATGTGTAATGCCAAGGCAAGATTTCTTTTCACTATTTTTATGGGGTTAGGGAAGAGGTGTATGTCCTTAAAAAGTAAATATTAAGCATACAGAACAATGTTACACAGACTTAATGGCTGAGGGAGGGCAAGAGCCGTAAGAGAACTTTATTGATCGAGCAGCTGTAGGTGCTGGTTGGAAGTGTTCTGAAATAAAGGTTGTGGGTGCTGCTAACAAAAAATGCCCTTATAGGTTAAATAAGATTGAAAGATACTAAACCAATAGAGTTTAATAGTGGTATGTAGATTATTTTTCTTGGGCCACTGTCAAGGCTGCCTCTTACAACCATCTTGTTTTAGCATGTTTGTTCAACGGTAAATGGGAGTTCTTCCATTTGCATAACGCGTCTATGCTTCATCATTATTCAATAAAGTAACAGAAATGTTTGTACAGTTGGAAATCAGCAGAGACGCTCCAAAAAATACATTCGTTCCAAGTTGCTGTATTGTAACTAATGTAGCATACACAGACAGTGTATGAATTTACAGCTCATTATACAGCATGTTCCTCACGCATAAATAAACAAAATGACATTAATTACCACTTTGGAGACAGAATACTGCAAATGTGTCACTTTAAAGTTATATGATATTTGCCCTCTCAAGCATATGTGTACAGGAGGAGCTCAGATAGGCCGTTCTGGTGACTCTGTGATAATGAAAATTCATGAGCGAGGCTTTTAGTGTTATCTATTTACTGTTAGGAAATGTAATGGCATCAAATAAAGCTATAGTTCCTAATGTAATCCCACTGTTTGGCAGCAAAAGAAATGCATAATGGACAGGAGCGATTTTGTTTTGGGAGGTGCGCTTTTCTTTATTCAGTGTTTGGCCTTAAAGGTAGTGGGTGTGTGGCCGTTCCTGTGTGTTTCTGTGTGTGTGTGTATGTGTGTGTGTTAATGCTTACTCATGCCCCTGTGCTGGCAGCTAAATGGATTCTGGCTATTGGCAGGCTGGTCGCGGCTAATTGAGTGGCACCAGATGCCAGCTCCACTTTAACATACACTCTCCCTGTATGTGTGTGCGTCTGCCCTACCTTTCTGCTGAACAACATACACACACATACACACACACATGCACACTTTAGCCCTAGAGACAGTGTAATTGGCTGTTGTGGATTCCCTCTAGTTGGGGTTTTAGACATAAAACCCTCCAGAAACCTGCTGGAAGCTTCTAATCCTGGCTGAGAGCTGGGACTGTATTAGCTCTTTTTTGGCACACAAACACACACAGGCCAAGGCACAATATGTACACACACAGACACACATGTACAGAATGCAAAGATGGTTAAATGCAAAGTTATATTGCAATGCATGAATGTCTAGAGGTGCCAAACTTGGCTGTACATTTACAGACATAAGCTGTATCACACTGAGGCTCTGCATGCTTCAGGGTCTGCAGAGCTAGGAGAAGCTTTGTTGTGAGGCCGATGTTCTTTGTAAATTCTTGTATACTGACACCTGGACTCTTGTAGGGAAATCTTTGCATGCAAAAAGAAGAGGATAGTGATCTTTGAAATGTTCATAGAAAAGCAAACTGCAACTCATAAGTGTTTTAGAAAGAAACATCCAGATAAAGCATGTTGTTTATGCAATTGTTTCTTGATTTTTAAGCTCTGTTTTGGTCTCTGTCCACACTGTTTAAAGAAAGTCAAAATACACTTTTTTGTAGTGTTGGTTTAATAGAAAAAAGTTTAAGACTAGAGATGAGGTAGATGGTTTGAGCCTTGGCAAATTGGTCACAGGCTGCTTTTTCAAAAATAAACACGACTGTAGACCAAACTCCACTTACCAACCGGTAGCCAGCAAAACATTAAACCCTGCATGGCAAATGTAGATGGTATTGGTGATGAGACATATTGTGTAAGAAGATGATTTTAACACTTTATTCCCTCTTAGAGACCTCTTTAAACAGACTTTCTCTGATCTATCTGTGCTGCTCACTATAAAATTTGTAATATGAGCTTCATAGAGAAAGAAGAAGAAAGACTGAGCTGTCTTCAAACATGAAGACTCACACTGCAGACAACAAAATCCACAATGTGCAGTTTCAGTGCAGCTGTGAAGCTCCTTCTAATACCAACTTTTTTTTTCTGCTATCCTACCAGCTACCAGTATTGTAGTTGAGCCCAGAAAAGGTAGTGCTTTTTGTCAGAAGGTAGAGAAATAAAAGTTAAATGAAAAATAGAGGTAAATAGACCCTGTGTGTGCATAATGGTGTAAACATTAGCCAGTTTCAATATTCAGTCTACATTACAGACCCACTGCCTGATAGCGTTGTGTCGTTCACGAATGATTCGTTCAAAAGAACTGAATCTTTTAAGTGAACGTACAGAACCGAATCACTTCCTCGAGTGATTCGTTCGTTTCTCACTTCAGTTGAGCTGAAGTGAGAAACTGCATTGCCAGGCCAGCAGTCAGCAAACGAGGGACCACATGCACCGATGCCTGAATCACTTGGTGAACGAATCACGTGTTGAACTGAACTCTCTGGAATCATTTTTGTCGGACAAAACTACCTTTTTTTCACTGCTAAATTGCCACCACAGCAACTTGTGGATAAATAGCATACCATAGGGCAGTACACTTAAAACATCATGACTTATAAACAAGTTCATTTTTACAAACCTGTTTGCCAAAGCAACACAGCCAAACACTCTCGTCTCCTGGTCCCAGAAGCTTTGAATTGAACTGAATCCTGAACTGTTCAGCTGTGTATCAGTGCAGAAGGTCGGAGTTGCAGGGTTCTCCCGCCAAACGCTAAATGATTCGGTGATTTGGTGAACAAATCTTTGAACGAATCCTTTTAGTGAACTGATTCTAGTGATTTAGTACATCTAAAAGAACTTGCTGTGCCCATCACTACTGCCCGAACCAGCTTTGGCAGTGAAGGGGTCACTTACTTCTATCTTTTGGGTATAACACTGGGATGCAGTGAAGTACCTTTCTTAGGATCCTCATTGTTTAACTTCCATCCCAATTTAAAGGGTAAATAGGAGTATGTGAGTAGTGATGGTTATCCATTTTCACACATAAAGAAAGCATGAATGAGCCTCAAGTCTCCGTTTCCTCAAAGCCTTTGATTGCTCTAAAAACAAGTTGAGTGAAAACATGCTTAACACAGCCAGGATGTTTTACAGTAACACACACATACACACAGACACACATCTGTGGTGGGCGGAGCCGAAAATATTACCATGAGAATGGCAGAAAGTGTCAGCCATGGAGAGGTTAACATTAGATAGAACGTTCAATCTGACACAATTTCTCCAGGGACACACACACGCATGCACGCACGCACACACCCACACACACACATTAGGCAGTCTGTCATTAATCCCGCCTAATCAAGCGGGGACCCCCTGATGTTTCCATGGCGCTGGAAGAAGGAGGAGTGATGAGGAGGAGGACAAAAAGAAGTGAGGAGGAGGAGAGAGAGTTTAGAGGAGGAGAAGAGGAGTATGGGACGGACGGATGGAGGAGAGGAAGGGGGGGTGTGGGGGGTACCAGCTGGTCTGGCTGCTCTGCACCCCAACAGTGACACAGTAACTGGCATGGCCATCTGTCCGGTCTCACACGCGCACACACACTCACAGGCTGGTGGAGGTGTACAGTAGGTAGCACATGGACCGAGGATTGAAGGGAAACACTGGAGCAGAGACAACAGAGGGCAGAGTTCAACTGCTCACATTAGTGCTGTGAAATCTGAAAACTGGCGCGAATTGAAACGTCAAACTCATTCTGGGCAAACCAGTTTTTTACAAACTTGCAGGCCAAAGTGACACACTAACACAACAGGAAAATCACTCCCTCTATTAAAATGTTATTTTTTTTCTGACAGCAAAATTGAAATTTTTCTTAAACATCTTCTGCTGAAGACGTAAAAGCCTGAAAGTGACATCCATTCACTGCTAACAACATAATTGCACAGGTTTTTTAACGACATGGTAATAAAGGTGGTTTAATGTCTGCATTAGAAATCGTTTCCTTAATCCAGCCCATTGAAATGTGACTGAAAATTTTTGGATCAGATTCAGCCAATACCTCCAAATACAGTCACTGATGCATATAAATCTTTCACCAAACCCTGAAGCCGCACGACTGGTGTTGTTTCATACAGATAAGACTCAAGTTTGTCATCTTTCTGTACTTAAAAGCATCAGCTCAGCAATCAGCTCAAAGCTGTTTAAGTTCCAGATGTAACTTTTGCTCAAGTTAAACACCTTCCACTAGTTCCTCTGCAATTTTCCTGTCAAGATTTGAAGCTCTTTTAATGACTGCTCTCAAATTTTCCAGCATGTCTAAAAGTAATTTTCCTTCTCGTCTAAAGACTAACATTAAAAGAATAAATCACAGTCGAAGCATCTGAGAGGTTTCTACGGTGTAAAAACTTTTTTATTGTGCATTTAATGTTCATCTCATCTTGTTTGGTAGAACAGCAGCCACACAACACACACATACACATACACACACATATAACTGTCTCTCTTCCTCCCTCTCTCTCACAAACACACAGATTAGGCTGCACTAATTAATAATGAATAAAGCCTCTGGCAAACTGAATTTTTAATTTCCCATTTTATTCTCACCCACGTTTTGTTTTCGCCTCTCATTTAGTCATATCATTTGTGATGCATTTTATTGTGGATGTTCAGCTCTAATGTCTTCACAGCGCTGTGATAAAATGAAAATCAGAGCGACATTATGATTCTCTGTATATTAAGCATCAGCAGCACCTGGTTTTATGTCTTTCTCACACCAGGTGCAGTCACTGCAGAGTTAAATGGCCCGGCATCAGAGAGTGCTGCCAGCCTGTCTGCATTAGTGTCCATGTTCATGATGCATATCTAATTAGTTTCTACAATCGTATTGTACCCGCAGCTCAAGGACTGACTGCAGAGCTGTGGAGGTCTGGCTGTGATTTATGGTCGTGTTGGAGTCGTATTTAGGAAATCACTGAGCCTGAATACATAGACTCTCGCTGGAGTAACACAGTGAAGTAAGACTCCTGAAACTTTATGTACATTTGAAATGAAGTGTTAGAGAACCTCCGAAGTTCTTTTCATTATTAAATTTGTGTGTTAAGCCACGAGTACAGTCTAAATCTGCCAGTCTCTCTGCCTGTCCTCATGTTAAAATAATGGTCTCACTTTGAGCCCTTTCTGTCGGGTATAAGAAACTTACAGCAGCAATCCAGCCAAAACTCACAAGTTTCTTTTAGAAAGGAAATATTAATGGTACACTGTGCAGTGCTTAGTAGGATATGGTAAGAATGAGTTAATTGGAAAGGAATATTATATCCATAAATGTGTTTTTGTGAACTTTAAGGTCCACTGCAATCGTTTTTTTTACTACTTGAAGTGTTCTCAGTGGTCTTTGAATTGTGATTATGAAGTTTTACCAAAAATTGCGTTACCTGAGTCATTTTCATTAGCAATCGACCTCTGAGTCGTGGGCGGAAACTGCGCTGCTCTGCACACTCGTCTTCATGTTAGCTTGCAGCCTAACATTGCCAGTGTAGTAGAAGTGGCAGGTAATGTAGGAACTATTTAGCTTTCAGACACTAATGTCTTTAGGGACACAATGAAAGTTAATATCATAATTAGCTTTCTTACAAGCATTTCTATCTGCTAATGCAGACGTTTGTTCCGCGATCGTCCTCTCTATTTCTCCGAGCCTGGCCTGCATAGCTGGGCTTTGGGGGCGGAGCTTGGATTGGTTACTTATGACATTTCAATGTTTCTCAACCTGCTGTTTGGGTCTGCCAGAGATTCACAGCGATTTGAATGAAGACATACTCAGAAAAGCCATTTCGCATTTAGTTTGATATGTCCTGTAGAATCTGAAAAATGCCATATGAACATATAAAACAACAAGAAAAACATGATTTTCATCAGAGTGGGTCTTTAAAACAAGCCTTTTACATCCTTTCCATGGTGGCCATCATCTTGCATCCCCATGTTTCTACTGTAGCACAGAATGGACAAATTAGTGCCATACTCAATTTTATATTCAGTAAGTGGCAGCACCAGTTGCAAGATGAAAGAATGTGGTGACTGTATGAATCACACCTATCATACAACGCAGTAGAGTTTTGCCCTCAGAGACCATCACGACAGGAAGGGTGAGCAAGGGAGTATTTCAATCAGACTTTTATATATCACTAAATAGTCCTTTTGTTCCACGTTTAGGGACAACAAACTGCATATTGTCCAAAAAACTAAAATCATGAATTCCATCCTTTATGGTTGAAAGTGAGGAGAGAGAGCCTGGTATTTTCCCAGAGTAACTCCATATATCAAGATACACTCAAAGCAGTTTATCTGACTTTGTAATATAAGGTTCAAGTCAAGAAGTACAGTAATAAGAAACAAGGATGAACATATTTGTCTTGTGTACGGTAATGTGAATAACCAGGTTTCTCTAGGCGCAAGCAAATGCCATATTCCAGTATTTCAGATAAGTCGCTCAGTCATTCTTTGAGTTTGTTAACCCTCATCACTTATCCAACAAGGCAATTTGACTTTCTGTAGAAAACAAAGGAGCACAGATTTTAAAAGATTTATTTATTGTGATTTAATGTGTGCCAAAAGTCGTTTTGTCAGAGGAGGTTGTTTGGTACCTTCATCATTTATTCGTTGGCTAACTAATCTGGCTAACTGATGAGCTAAAGTGTAGATCACATCATGAATAGTTCAAAGGGAAGCTTGGGACGGACTTCTGTTCCTGCAAAATCCACAGAACCAGGGAATCTTTAAGTGTGCCTACAGTAACAGTGTGGAGCCTTCTGTCAAAAACACTGAGCCAACGTTTAGTGCGAGAGGCTGGATGTGTGGAGCGTTTCCAGGAAACACACAATGCTGGTGGGAAGTTCAAGGGGCCTGGGATTATGGAGCGCTCCCAAGATGAGCACAGAGCCAGTGTGTGTTTAAGGGTGCCTGGAAGAGTGGCCTAATACACGAAGCCAAAGTCACTGACTGGCTCTGTTTCTACGATATACTGCATTATTTTATATTCTAACTTGTGTATATTTATGAAAGCTGTTTTTTATTCATTCTTATTCAAATTTCCGAGTTTTTATCCACTTCTTTTGTCTTCTTTTTTTCTAAATTATAATAAAGTATTAATGTTTCCCTTTCTTTATCCCATTGCCTCTCTTTTTTAATGTAATGTTGAGTATTTTGTGAATTTTTTTGACACAGTTTTCTGTTTCTCCCCCCTGCAGGTGTTTCTCCCGGTCAGACCACCTGGCTCTGCACATGAAGAGGCACATCTGAGGGCAGAGGGGAAAGGAGTCGGAGAGGAGAGGAGGCAAGAGGGAAAAGATGACGGAGAAGAAGAGGAGGAGGAGGAGGAGGAGAGATAGGAGGAGGAGAGAGGGATGGGCAGTAGAGCTACCAACCGCCCGCCTCGTTCACCCCGTCTATGAACCAGTCGGCTGCCACGACGCCTGCAGGGCAGCGCATCTATCTGAGAGGGCCGTAAAATCGAACTGACTGAAGGCCCTTTCTCTCGCTGAAGACGGGGGATTGGAGGAAAAACAAGGAGTAGCTAGATTGTTGATTTTCTTGAAAATTACACACTCACACTTGCAATAGTAAACACTCAACACCGCCGTCTTTGAATGCATCATCCCGGTGAACCTCGGCTGCTCTCATGGAGCTCTGGGGACTTGGACACTGCCAAAGCAACATATACTTAACTTGCTTGCTGAAACATTACGCCGCCTTTTTTTCTTTCTCTGTAGTCAGTGTGGGTCACTTTTGGGTGAGGAGGTAGTTCAGTGGGAAACGTTAAATATCCATATAGTCAGTTTGTTAGTGCTTTACCGGATTGTCAAATCAAATACTCAACTTTTTTTCTTTCTCTTCATACACGGGACTAAAGAAACCATCACCTGCCGCAGTCAGCTTCAGTAACCGACCTGAAGAAAACAACAATGCCAAATCTGCAGGAGAGAGACTGTACAGATTGACTTCTAGCAGAGCTGACAATCGTACCCAGAGTTTGGACGTTGGGTGTTTCAGCGCACCGATGGGACCTCGATCAGCGGGTGCTCCTGCAGCTCTCAGGCTCTCCTCCAGAGGGTGTTAGCATCTCTCACCTTCACTGAGACGCCTGCCGCCTCCACAGGCTATCTGACAGAAATGCGCAGCGACACTTTCTTCCTTTTTTTTCTACTTAGAGGACGATGATTCTTCGTATTGTTGTTACTACAAAGAATGACACTTTGTTCTTTTCTCTCTCTGGGAGAAAAATGTCTTAAAACTCACAGAATTGTGTTTTTGAGGATAAAAAAACTGAAATCTAAGATGACTTCAACAGAATGTGTGGGATGAGAAGGAGAGCGTTGTTGGTCTTTTAATCCCCATGTGCACCGGCTGTGCTCCTGCAGTCTGCAAGCAACCAGCGGATGAACGAAAAGAAAAAAAAAAACAGAATCATACCGACTCTCAGAAAGGGGATTTGTATTTTTCTGAAAAAATAAAAGCGAGGAGCAGAGAGGTCTTCAGTTTTTTGTACAGCTCCTTCTGCCCTGCGATTCACTCCAGATGGAAAACAAAACCCTTGTACGACCCTCCGTGGTCTCGCACTCTGTCGGAGTCAGGCGGAGGACTAGCTAAAAACTGGGAACCTGTTTTTTTCTCTTTCCTTTATTTTTTTTTTTTGTTCTTCTTTCTTTGTTTCTTTTTGTTGATTCTGAAAATCATCCTGGAGCGCTCTCACAGACTCCGAGATCTCATCCCCCTGGCATCACCGCAGGGCAAGAACGGAGGCTGATGAGCTGCTTTTTGTTTATTCACGTGGGATTTAAGACGCCAACGGACCTTTTGTGCGCCGGTGCCGAACAGACACGGTCACACACGCACGGCCTGACAGTCAAACTTGCCTGTTTTTATCGTATCCATTGACTGCACTGACTTTTTTTCAATGTTATCTGTGCTTTTTTTTCTACAGCGAAAAAAGGAACACAAAGACAAAAAAATTATAAAAGACTTGAAAAAAATCCAACACAAAAACAATCCTGTCTCGCTCTACACACATTGTATACAGAACAAGCACACACACACATACTCCGTCAACACACACACACACACACACACACACACATACACACAGACTTACACTGCAGTTTCTTTGCTCACGGCTCTTCTCCAGATAAGACTAATAAGATTTAGGAAAATAATTATTAAACTAATGAACAGAGTTGGAAAACAAAACACTGCATGGCAGGCTTTAGCGCAAACACTCATACACACACACACACACACACACACTCTTCCAGGAATTATATGTTCTGCTCCCAGATCTTTTTTCACAGTAGGAATTTAGCAACTGTTGTTTAGTAGAGGAGTATCTTAGCTCTCGGCTGGAGGTAACAAACGATCCCAAATCCTTTGAAGTGAGAAATCAGCTTGTTCTCAGTTCCAACAATCACCCACATATCCTTCGCTACAGTTTCTGCCTCTCATTTAATCAGCGTTTTTACTTCAGAGACTCGCAGCTGCATTCGAGGGTCTGAGCCACTTTCATCAGACTTTCATCTAAAGTCAATAGAAATAAATCAAACACAACAGGCCTTTATCAAAACTTACAACACAGCTGAAAACAGGCCGATAATCCGCGGAGAGCCTTTCATCCTGCATCTAATGTACACAAGATATAGTCATCCTAAGAAGGCGTCACATCTGATGGCCAAAATAAAGCAGAATTTCACATGGTTTTATTAAAACCTGCCAAATCAGCTTTTCAGTTTGGGAAAAATCATTTAGAAAAAGGACTAAATTGATTGACACAGTGATTTAAAACTGGAAAAGATGTTGCTGTACAAGCTCTCACAGGAACAGGCTTTGAGAAATCTGGATCTGTTGCATTGAGACTGGCACAAAATCAGCTGTTTCTAGTTTGGCAGTTTGACCGTTTTTGCTTGTTGCACTAAAGATCTTTGGTACGGTGGCCTGCGAGGAAAGACAAGCTGCCAAGAGAGAAATGATGCAAATGCTCAAATAATGCAAACTCAACCACTTCAGCCTTGAAACGCTGATGCTTAGCTGTTTACCGGCTGTGTGTTATTTTAAAGAAATGTGAACTGAATTTAACATTATCACCCACACCAGAATTACCAGTCAGTTTAACATACTACATTACTACTACTGTGTCTGATCTGTAGAGTAATCACTCACTGCTAGCCAGGGCTGTAACTCCAGTAGTTTATGTCTAATGTAGGCTCTGTCAGATCAAACTGGCATACAACCACCTGACTCAAGCAATCAGCTCAGGCATGTAGATGTTAACTTGTGCAGAGGACTGAAGACTGGTGGTGCTAGCTCTGCTAATGGTAGCCACACCCATCAGGCCATTTTGCATTGCTTTTCTGCAGAGTATGTGATCCCATGTCGCCTATTCTCGCTCTAGACTATTGACACAGTGGTCAGTTTGTTTGAGGTTAAATTTCCAGTCACTGGTTTTTGACTTTGCACTGCTTGTGTATTTGCAGTGCATTTTCTTCTGATGCAGTTATTTCAGCTTTCTGATGCCGGTTGTTGCATTATTTTCTCAACTCTGGCCTCGTCAGGGTTGTTGCAGGTCCTCTGTCCTTGTCAGCCACTGTACCTCAGGCCTGGATACAGCAGCATTTTAATTATCTAGTTTACGCTCAGCTCAGAAATGTTTAAACCAGTAGATCTAAACTGAATTCATCCCAACGAGAGCTGTGCTTAATTTCACTTCAGCACACTAATGAAAAAAATTAATTAGTGCATTTTTTAATGTGAAACCTCTGCGTTTCTGCAATCTGCTTATTCCCAATACAGCAAGCCATATCGCTCGCTACTGCTGTTGTCAAAAACTACAAAAATACACGAAAGAATATTGTTTTGATTTTTCCTGTAGTAATTTATTTACAGGTTCATGGCCGTGTCAAAACTTACTTTTAAGCTTTTTTAAACTTGACTGAACAGCTGATGAAGGTCCAGTCTTCTATCTGTGCCATGAATGTCATCACTCACCCTGAAATATCTGATGTAAAAATGAAAGGAGAGGTGAAAACTAGGCGAGCACAGGTCCACACTTGCTTCTTTCGCTCAGTGATTGCAGAAAAAATAAACCCGCCTAATCAAGGCATTACTGATACCAACATCAACACCGACGTTTACACCGCTGCTCCATCCGCCCACCACCACCTATATGCCCTGTAGCGCACGCTAACAGTCTAATACTCACTTCTGACTGGTACAGCTGGGTGAGGGTCCAGGGTTCCTGAAGCTGGCGGGGGTTTTCATATCCCAGCATGCCCAGTCACCGTGCCAGTCGGCCTTGCCAGCCTTCATTAGGTGAAACAGTGAAAACATTCCCCTTCAAGGGGGTTTTATGGTGCAGCTTCGAACAATCGATACCAAAAACCTCCAGCATGGAACTGCCCTTCAGCCATGGGCAGAGTCTCCCGGGTCAGGAGAGATCAGCGGGAGACCGCCTCCATATGAGGCCTCTGTATCCAGCGGCAGCTTTCTCTACTAACTCTCTCTTTCTGCTAAATACAACGTAAAGCAACCCACGTTTGGGATGAATCCAGTGTTTCCCTTTTAATTTCATTTCATTGTTTGGTTCCTGTAACAAAAGCTGTGTTGATGGTTGTTTTCTTCTGCTTGGATGACGCAAACTCATGCCCAAAATGTTGAGACATACAATGGGATGTAGAAGGAACCCCCCTATACAGGACGTACAATCATAGAGGGTTGGGGATTGTAGCACTTTTGTGAAGCTTTTGATGGCATGAATGTGTATATGTGTGCGTGTGATTGTGCGCGTGTATGTGTGTGTCCCCATTAGGCAAACTGTGAGGGCAGCAGTGATTCAGCAAGGTGGTTGAGAACGGAATTAAAACTGCTGAACATGTGTGCAACCTTGTGGGAGAAGTTTTGGTTGTTACTTCTGCTGTTGGAAATGCTCTTACCAAGCAATGGCTGAAAATGTGTTTGTTAGGTTTGAGTTTAAACCCTTTTTTCGTTCACGCATTCATTCATTCATTGCTGCCACAGTCATGGAAGTGCAAGTCAGAGTTGCAATTGTGCACCTTAAAATCGGACACCTCTTTCAAAGATTGGTTAAAAATACACCACTGGCTTAACATCTTGCCCCCTTTCCCAACCAAATTCTTAAAACTCATCAGTATTTGTTCTGATCTTGAATATTTGAATGTAAATCAGACCCTTAAAAAACACTTTATCCAGCACAAACACTGGTGTTAACTATTTTGTACTTTGTAAAAGAAAGTGGGACACATAATCGGCGCCTCATTTGCATTTTGTCCCCATTTGTCTTGTTGCTTTGTGAAAGCGGACTCATTTTCTGAGCGGCAAACACCAAAAGAAGATCTAATGTACAGAAAACTTAAATCTGTGTTGTTTAACTATTGAGGGAAAACCTTTGCCTGCGTGCCGACAAAAAAAAGGAAAGCAATTTATGGATACGATTATGAGCTCCTTTTCTCTTTTTTTCAAGAAAAACATATTTTTAAAGAAAAAAGCCAGCAAACAATGAAATAGTGACCTTATTTGTCTCAAAGGAATACATAGCTTGCAGTACTTTTTCTATTTTGTTGGAACAAGACATTAAAAAATGTTTGAAACTACAAATACATTCAAACAAGATAAATAACTCCTGCTGGCTGGCATCTAAAACTCCACCTCATACTTCCTCTCTTCTTTAATTAAAATCTATCTTGACATCCAACAGATCTCAAAGTCACTTCAGATACCATTTCACATTTGGTCTCCTTGTCTCCCAGCCTGTAGGAGCAGGTTTTCTGTCACAGTGTTGCTCCGGGTCTCCTGTCGTCTCTCAGGCTCCTCCAGGCCAACTAGCTGCCGTCCCACAGCTCTGATTAGCATTAGCACTCCCGGGTCCTCTTCTCCAGTCGCAGTTCAGCTAATGAGATCGCTTTGGGTCACAGGGAAACTGAGTGGTCTGGAGCAAAAAAAAAAAAAAAAAAAAGACAACAGGGACCTTGAGTCAGACCGTTTCCAGCTCTCCATACCCAGTGGACAGATTTGATGTAGAACAAACAGGAGATTCTGTTAACATAGGGAAACGCCAGGAGCCAGTGGGTTATCTCTTACAGACACTGAACTAAGAACTCATTTACCCACACGGATATCCAAATCATTACATCAGCCTTTGCATTTTATCTCATGGATTTCAGATAAAATAAATGACCATTTATCTGCAAAGTCTCTACAGATATTTAATCCTGTATCCTCAACCCTCTCTTTTCCTCCGCTGGTAAAACGCCGTTCTCGTTTCCCTCCCCCATCTCCTCTTTTCTGTCCACAGCAGTTGTCCATGCACTATCAGCTGCAGGAATGCACACTTTACACATTTTGCCCAAAGATTTGCATATTTGCAAGTTAACTGCTGTGAATGTAGTAGATTTAGGGACAAGAGCCGAGAGGCAGAGACGCAGAAAACGAGTCTTGGATGGGAGGTGGGAGGAGAGGGATTAGTTTTTCTTACCTGATCGTCCCATTAAATCTTAATTACCGGCGTGCTCCGACTCTTCATGCTTCATAACATTCTCAGTCTCTCGTCTACCGTTAGCTGGAGCCTAACTCAATGTTCACAAATGTAAAATAATGCTTACATGGTCTTATAGGGTGCCTAGTGTAGTGGCGCTAGCAGGGTTTGCAGGAGTGAGGAGGTTTAGATTATGTCAGCTGCTTAGCACACTGCAAATGGCACTGTCAAATCTCATATTTTCAAAGTCAAAGGTGGGCTGGAGTCTTTGGAAACTGTAGACTGTTGAGTTTAGCTTCCCAATGTATTAAACACAGCTTAGAGGTCATCTAAAGGAGACATCTATCTTTGAAGGTGTGCTGACGGCACAACCATTTTGGCAAGTTGGTGAGAATCTGGGATTGATTTGCTTTAAAATTTGCTCTTAGGCCATGTTCGCACTGCAGGTCAATTCCGATTTCTTATCCGTATGTGACACGTATCTGATTTTTTCATGTAAGTATGAACAGTGCAATTCTGATCTTTTCAAATCCAACCCAGGCCTCAGTCAACCCAGGTGACTGCAGTGTGGACGCTCAGGTCGAGTTCATCCGACCTATACGTCATCAATATGCGACAAACGTCACCATTGTTTGACAACACAAACAATTTGTGCTTTGTGCGCATGCGGGTCACTTCACGAACGCATTCCGTTCACATTAGATGCCGAATTCGTTGTTGTAATGTGAAGGACCGCACAAAAAGGTCGGATTTAACAAAAAAACAGAATTGTGCATCATAACCTGCAGTGTGAACGTAGCCTTAGAAACATATTTTCTTAACCTGGGTTTATGAAAAAGTCCAAAACTTTTTAAGAGCCTCTCTCTGCTGATTTCATGTGTTGGCAGTGTTTTCAAACAAAAGTTAACTCTACTTAATTCCACCTCTCCCTGGAGATGTTGGTATGAAGTTAATTCATTCAACACCTGTTCCCTGTCAGTGGTTTTGGACATCAAATAAAACTGAACTACAGAGAAATCGGTATTTTGTTTATAAATGGCCAAAAAACCCTCATAGTAGCTTTAATCCAGTGAGGGTCTAATACTGCAGAGCCCCTTTAAACAGCTAGACTAACTTACAAACTGCTAATGTGTTGCTTGGAGAAAAAAGGCAATCATCGTCAGACTCAAACCAACAAACCCAGATTGAAAATGTCTTCAAACATCAACCTTGACCACAGGTAGTCCCTTGAACCTTGACCATTGAGGGACCAGTTTCCACAGTCTCCACTCCTCCATGTTTCTCTGAAGAAGGATTGTCATTATAGGCAGCTTTTTGTAAATAGCGTGAGATCTTTCATACAGATCAGTATGTGGCGACAGCACTGTCTCAGACATTTCAGCATTTCTATAGATCGGCTTTAGTTCTTGCAAACATTGCACTACATGGTCATATTTAGCTATCACACTCTCCATGTGCACGCACTGCTAGCATAGTCTGTTGGAGCACTTTGTCAATTATCCACTTAACATTTGTCACTCATCCAGGATGCACTTTGCCACCAAGAACCATTTTCTACAGGTCTGCATACCGTCTAAAACCTCCGGTGAAATGCCTTTTTTCATCACCGTTATTCTGGGGGAATATGTTGTACTTTCAGTCAAACTGGGACTTGGTTGATCTTTCTTGGCATCAGTGGCATCCCGGGGTGACTCTGTTTTCACTGTGTTTGTCCATGCTTGGTGTGTCAGTATATAAGAGATTCACAGATCTTTACCCCTGTCCTTGTGTCTGTATATTTCACCTCACACCCACCAAACCCTCTCCACCCATACTTCCACCCACCATCAGAGCCCTCCAGGGTCAAACATGCTCAAAGTCTTTTTAAAGGCCTGTCTAGCGGAATATCCTCAAGCTGGAACAGTTTGTTTGGGTTCAGCCGGCCCTTCCTTTGAGGTGCATCTTGAACCGGGTATTTTCAAGAACATCTTTTGAAGACAGTACGGGCTGAAAGATTGGCATTAAAACATTCTGATTGTCTCTACAAAGCTCTATCAAGCAGTACAGTATCACACTGTATAAGGTATCACTCTGTACTTAAAGCTCCTACGAGGATCTTTTAGCTTGTGTTGACTTTGATGCCCCTGTGGACAAATTAGTCATTGCTGATTTTTGTCCAGTACATGTGTCAGAATTGTTTTCATACAATCCATTTTAACAGTCAAATGTATCATTGGAAAAAGTTTTTAAAAAAATAATTCTATCAGCAAATATTCAATTTGTCAGTCACCCACCCACCTAGCAGAAGTTTTCTACAAATCTCCCTCGAAATTATTTGAATGGCAGAAGTGGCCATACTATGTGATAAATTCAAGCTAGCTAACTGGTTAATGAGTCATCCATTTCTGTTGAAGCTTCTACTCCATCTTATTGTCCCTTTAATGGTAACCAGTAAAGAGCCACTACTACCCCCTTTAGTCACAAAGTCATACCAGAGGCTTATTTTAAGCAAAATATTGATATTTAAATTATCTGAAATGACAATAACCATCAGTACAAGACAGCCCTAGTCTGACATATCAATTGAAAAACCCCTAGTTTGCAGATGAACATTGTTGTTGTCATAAATGGAATTTTTTGCTTATTTCCAATGTATAAAATTTTGATTACATGCTACTTTTCCAAGTATAGGTCTTCTTATTTTTCTGCCTATCATTGGTCATGGCTTCATCCTTATGAAGACGCTTTACAATTTGAACCTTCAGTGCTATTTAAATGTAATTTTGGTAATATCTGCTGTTTTGAAAAGAGGGTGCTTCCTGTCTCTCTGATTGAGTCAGCCGTTCTTTAGGGTTAAATTTAATTGGGACCTGCTCCAAGAAGGATCAGCGTAGTAGCATGTTATCGAAACCAACAGGAATCATACCCAATATGAGTCCCAAAATGAAGAAAATTTAATCCATCCTCAGAGCCTCATAGGCCTTAACACTTGTAGAATAGAACCAAGTGGAGACACAGACTTGATTTTGGTGCCAATGCTTGTGCCGTGTAACCAGAGAAATGACCATACGTATCATCCGTTGTGAAAGCTCTGTTTCAGCACCTTTATATCACCAAGCATGTATGCAGTTAACTCAAACCATAACTGTTGAGAAATCACAACTTTACATTCCCTGGGGTGAGCTGACAAGTGGAGAAAAGAGAAGACAGCAGATGTGTTTTTACCATCACAACACTCCTCTCACCTGTCTCTCCAGGGCTCTGTTACTCTGATACCTTTCATTTCAACCTTCAATCCATAAACCATCACTCCACCCCCGCTTTCCTCCCCTCCGTCACCGTCACATCTGTTGGGTTTTTTTTATTTTATATTTTCCGTTCTCTTGTTTTACTTACAATTTTTGCTGTACAAAGTGTTTAAAATATTATTTGTATTATATGATGTTAGTATGGTAATGTTCTTTATTAAGGAAGAAGAAAATTTATTTTTGTTACTGGTCTGTTTCATAATTCTTTTCTAAATTGGTATTGTAAGATATCTATGCAAGAACTGTTAAGTGGAGCATTTTTATTTAAGAATGTAATATGTGTAATAAATGGTAGAATCTGGTCATGGCTCTGGTCTGTTTTATTTTGTGAACCTTTCCAACACACTTTACACACATAAAAACAAGAAACTGGTCCTCTATTTTCTCTTACATTCTGCTTGACCTTTGGGTTTGGTCATCCTCCAATTCATGCAACCCAAGCAAATGAGTCACACTGTAACTGTACTAAATCCAAACTAACTAAACATCGAAGTGGGCAAACTTAAGCTTTGTATGGCTCAGTTACAGTACTCAACAGCATCTAAAAACAGTCTCAGATTTAAGCAGGGTAGTGATGAGCACGGCAATTCTTTGAGATGTACTGAATCACTAGAATTAGTTCACTAAAAAGATTTGTTCAAAAGATTCATTCACCCAATCACCAATCATCTTGTGCTTGGTGGGAGGAGTCTGCGACTCCGACCTCCTGAACTGATACACAGCTGAACGTTTCAGGATCAGTTCAATTCATAGCTTCTGGGACGGGGAGACGAGAGTGTTTGGCTATGTTGCTTTGGCAAACAGGTTTGTAAAAATGAACTTGTTTATAAGTCATGATGTTTTAAGTGTATTGTCCGATGGTATGCTATTTACCAGGTCTGCTCGGTAAATTGGTTAAATTTGTTCACTAAACGTTTAGAAGAATTCACACTGAACATGCACTGTTCCCTCACAAACCGCTGCAATGAAAGGATGCTGCAGATTTAATGCACTACTTGTTACATGCTGTATCCTATTGTACGCAAGTTGTTGTGGTGGCAATTTAGCAGTGCAAAAAAAATCGGTAGTTTTGTCCGCCTAAAATGATTCCAGAGAGTGAAGTTCAATGCGTGATTCGTTCATCAAGTAATTCAGACGTCGGTGCATGTGGTCCCTCGTTCCCCGTCTGCTGGCCTGGCAATGATGTTTCTCACTTCAGCTCAACTTAAGTCAGAAACAAACCAATCACTCGAGGAAGTGATTCGGTTCAGTGCATTAGCTTGGAAGATGAGGTTCTTTTGAACGAATCGTTCATGAATGACACAACACTATAGCGGGGTGAAAGTAACATAAGGTTCTTGCAGGTACTGTACTTATAGGCTTTGTACAAGAGGAGCACACCCAAGTTTAACAAGGTGCCGAATCTGATGCCACAGTATCATCATCTACTGCGTCTCTCTTTCTCATGAACATAACATCAATTTTTTACCCCATTTTGTTTTATTTCTATATTAAGATTGAAGCAGCTGTCTCTTTAAAAGTTCCCTGCGATCCCCAGCGCCTAGGCAACCAGCGTCCAATCAAAAGTGCGCACTACGCGCTACCACTTCCGGAAATTGTTTGCGGAAGAAAATACCTCTTACTCAAGCAGCATGGTCCTATTGGATTACTACGGTTACAATGCAGAGCGCAGACTAACGTACGGCAACACGGTAAGCAATTGTAGCATACATATATTGCAGGAGTGACAGTTTGTGTACCGCAGTATACCGCGGCAAACAGCTGTTTATGTCTTCCCGGTACATCATACCGCTGCGTACAGGCTTATTTTCAGCCCTGGATTGAAGTGATCTCACTGAAATGTTGAGCAGGCCACTCTACAGACTTTTCAGTGTTAATTGATGTTAATTGTTAAATTTTTTAATGCTTATGAATGTCCAGAAAAGATCTTTTTTATCGAGACTGTGCAGCTCATGGCAGTTTTCAAGTAACCTTTCTCATCAAGGCAATCAGGCTTGTATGAATGGCACAATAAAAGATGTACAATAAATAAAATTAATTAGCTTGTGATTTGGTTTAGGTATAAAAATGACCTGGTGAAGAAAGCATTGGGGAAGGGTCAGGGGTATAACATGTCAGGTAAATTATACAAATCATTTGAATATATTAGAAACAGCTGAAGGGTGTTACTTTTTACATAGCTTTGCAGTCATATAATATGCTTTATATACAAGATAATTCCACTCACAGTTTGAGGTTTTGAGCTTCCATTAAAGGTCTTCGTAGATTGACCAACCCCGGATTTTGGTGACTGCTAAAAGACCAAACCAGATGATGCTGGCCTTTGATTACAGAGGATTCATCAGTCAGTTAGCGAGCACTAGCTGCTACCTTGTTGGTGTTGTCCTAAAAAAAAATCTTTTGTTTTCTGCCTTTGTCTTTGAGAAAAGAAAGTAGCAGTGGCTTTCCTTCATAACCAAATGAATCAACAAAGTGCAGAAAGGAGGAAAAACTGAGGGGTTGACCTTCTGGTTAAGGGACAATTGAGGGGAGCATCCACGTAAATAGCTGCTAGGTAGGCTCGTACTTCAACTGTATTCTGATAGGACGGCAGGGCCTGATGTCATGTTTGCTGTGTTTGCTCGCGTTTGCTTACGTTCACAAACATCTCTACTCTTTTTTTCCTCATAAAATTAGGTCGGTAAAAACGTACCCTCTTCTCTTACTCTTTATTCTAACATTTTTCGTAGTGCTAGTCATGACCCACTATTGCCACCCTGCGGTCAACTGCAGAAACTCTTGATCATCACAAGGCTTAGGCCAAGTTATCAAAATGAACCAGTAAAGTGCATCCAAGGACTAAACCAACATCTATGTTTCTCATCTCATGAAACTTGGAGGTTTAGTTTTGACATTTAACAGGCTAGCATTACAGTTTATGCATATATTAAAGTACAGATAAGGCAATGGGTGCTTTAACATAAAATCATTCATCAGCCATTAGTCTACAAATGAAGTATGAATGAGTGAATGTGACATGTCATGTAAATTTGAGATGTTTCTGTCTTTATGCAAGTTATTCTATCGTAGCATTTTAAGAAAAGCAGTCCTTGATTTCCCAGAAATGCCGATTTGTCTCCCATCTTGTCTCGTCTTCTGTACCATCTGTGCTGCAGCCTTATCAGGGTAACTTGTTCAGCCTCCAAACTGTTTTTGTATGTTTATTACAGAATGGTGAGGTGTGTAATTATCCAACCAGAACTGCCAACAAGGAGCTAATGAATGTTGTTTAATCTGCAGACTAATCGTTTGAGGATCTTGCCCATAAGGACAAAAAAAGGATTTTGCTTTGTTGGATTAAAAATTCAAAACTGGTTTTAACCATAAATTAAAATTCTGCAAAATTTTATTGCTCATTAGCCATTTATCTTACATACATCTGTGGGTGCTTCCGGGAACATTTACCAAGAGTTAAATTCTACCCGAACATTGTGTATATTTTCCTACAGGGGAGAGTTAACATCCTCCAGCTCAGCAGACAAGCAGAAAACCCAGAGTATAACCTTCCAGTAAATGACTGAAATCACCCCTGTCTGGACACCCAGACGACTTTAATTATGAGTACCATGGTGGCGCGTTATTCTTTCTTAATGGCCATTTAAGGCAGATGGACACATCCTGTCCAGCCGCTGGCAAGAGCACAGACGTACGGAGGCCCAGCGTCGCCTAACTACAACAGAAAGGCTCATATTCTCAATAAAGCTGCTAATTTAGCTCTTTATTACAGATTAAAACAATCTCATGAATATCTATGGCTCTCCCCTGTCTGCAAATGGCTGCTTATAGTGTCCTGCTCTTTAATTAGAGCCGACTTGTCACTGACTGAGCTGACATACAAACCAGTGACATGTACGCTAAACGAGGTAATCAAATAATTAATGGCTAATTGGGGATCAATTAAGCAGAAGTAAGGGAGCTCGTATACTGCATATCTGCTCTGTGAGTGTGTCCTCTTACATAGAAATGGCTAATTAACTAATTAAAAGGGACCAAACTGATTAATTTCTCTGTAAAGACAGACTTGACATCCATTCATCCCATTTAAATCATCTTAACTGGTCACTCGGCTTTTCTGTAAATACAGACTTTGCATTTCCACGCATGCTTATATTTTCTTTGCTTACAGAGGGTTTAAGATGCTGGATGAAGACATTTCAGCAGAGCCAACGCAGAGGATTATTATCGTTTCTCAGCAGTGGGCTGTGTTGGCTGGAAAACGGGGACTCACAATGATGATTAGTGTGGGCATTTTGAAGGTTTTGCAAGCTTATTCAGTTCTTGTCAGAGGTAGAAAAGCAAGACGAGTGAGCTGTTTATAATCTTATTCAGCAGCATTAGTCTGTGTGGTGTTGGTAAGTGTTTACAGAAACAGCAGCCATCAGCTTTCCCTAAGAGCAGAAATAAACAGAAATGTGGTAAATCGCCTCATAGCGTATATTCTGTACATATCTCCCAGAAGGACAGTGTCAGCTCATTTATGTGACTCTTTACCGCACTGTCCACGACCAGCATCTAACCAAACAATGCTGCTTTATTATAAAAAGAAAAAAAACACGACAGTCAAGCACAGAACAAACACAGCTCTAAAAAATATCCATGACAACTTAGACGAGCACAGAAAGGAACGAATCCTCTTAATTAAAATAATAACTTTATCTTTATAGCACTTTTAAAAACAGAAGTTTCCATAGTGCTTTGACATACACATAGTCATAAAGCAAATGGAAAAAGACAGATAAAAACAAAAGCTTAGTTAAAACGGAATCGTTTTAGCGAGGTCCAACTTTCAATCATGCCTGCGTCTACGTAGGTCCAACTGCACACACACTTACAGAGGTCCACTGTTTCTGCAGTCAGGTCTTTCTTGGTTCAGTAGTTGTAAGAAGCTAGCTGAAACCGACTTCGCCTTTATAGTCCAGCAAGTTTAGATGGCTGTTAGAGTTTTCATCCTAAAGGTTTGAAGTAGCCAAGTTGCTCAACCTTAGCTTGGCTTTTCAGCCCTAAAATAATGTCCCTCAGGCTGTCATGTAGTATTCTTGTGTACTCTGGTATTTAAGCTTGTCTATCTTCTGTAATTAATTATTTTATTTTGACATTAACTTCCTCCTTAAGTTGATTCACTTTCTGCCTGTTTTTTTTCCTGCTTTCAGAAATGTCAGCCTCACTCCTGTTTGAACCTATCCCTCCTCATTCTTGCAGTTTGTTTCTTCATTTCCACTCCTTTAACCTTTGTCAACATTACATGTGGCTTTCCCATTGTTTCTCGCATTCAATATGTTTCGCTTGGACCCTATGGACTCTGACATGTAGTATATCCTTGCTGCATACTTTGCTGAATGTCATTGTAAGCATTGCAGTCATTCCCCTTTGCAACTACACAGTATTGACATGTTATTTTCCTTTATGGCTGTTGTATAGTTAGCACTCCCAACATGTCACTTATCAGTGCTTGAAATGTAGTAATGACAAAGACTGAAGCATAAAGGTTCACATGCTTAGCCTCCTACACCATATTGTTATCAGTTTTGGAGCGTTTAAAATTGAAACCACAAAAGGAGGCACACACACAGGCACACAAACAAGCACAGAGATGAAGAGCAGTAAGATGCTGAATTGTGATTCCTCCACAGCGGATTATTAAATAAACACTCAACCATCTGGACAAGTAAGCATTATCCACAACAAAGTCTCCTATATCTGCTCTATAATTGGTTCTCTGCAGAAAACATATCCAGAAATGAACATTTCACTTTTTATACGCTGAAACTTCCCACTTATAGTAAATGGAAATTACAGAAATGTATTGATCCGTTTACAAAGATGATGAAAAGTCCAGATAATGAAGAAACCAGGGGAACAAGCTTGGAGGCCTCTTCTTGTTTTTTTCACAGCTATTTTACAGTGAGACATCAGCCCACATGCAGCTTTACAGTGAGGTAACATACATCATTAATAAATGTTTTGTGACCAGATGCTCTGCAGCCGGGAGCTTATTAATCCTTTATCAATATTTCCTCCAGTGAAGCATAGAGAAGTGTGATTCGATGCACTTGTGATGTGTTTGTGATGAATAAAGAAACCCTGAGTGCCCTCTGTGCTGCTCCTGGACAGGTGGATGTTTCTCTGCTGTTGGCTTCCTGGTGTTCTGGGTCGTTTCAGGCTGCCAAACTCAATACAGCTCCCGCCAGTTTCAGGAGGTGGGAGCCATGATTAGTTTTGACTCTGTCTTCCTGAGTTTCAAATACCAATTTCATCATGCTGTCAGCAGGGAAAGCGTTTCCCTGCTAGTCTTCAGAAAGCACATTTCTCCATTCTTTTTATAGAGTTTTAAGTAAAAATTGTCTTTTTTTTCGCTACCAGTGGCTAAGTCTGCAAAGGGTAAAGGTCAAGAGTCTGGACTCAGGGGTCAGGGGGGAGAGTGAAGTAGTCTGTGTAAGTTCTCTCTGTACATGCTCAGATAGATGAACTCATTACTGCCAGTGTCTGCGGAGGTCCACAGACAATCAGGTCTTTAGCTTATCTGCTGCTTACAGCCACTCAGGAGGTCAAACACACATTAGCCCGCTATCACAGCTAATCTCTGTCTTTCTGTCAGTCTCTGCTTTCCACTCACATCAACTCAGAAACTCTCTCTCTCTCCTGCACACACTCTCAGGTGCATGTGTGCATCCTGAAGTAACCAAGAACAGGTTTGCAGTAGTTATCAGGCTTTTGTGACAAAAAAAAACAAGAAGTTAGAAAATTAGAAACACCTTTTGTTAGGGCTGGGAGATAAAATGATAACGATGTATATCAAAAATTTATTTCCCCCAATATCAATATAAAACATGGTCAATATGCTTTTCGATAGTCGGCTTGTTCTGCCTTGTTTTGGTAGACTGTACGACTAGCCAATGAAAAGGTGAGTTGCTCTGGGCTTGCTTCGTGCTGAACCAATCATGTGCTGAATTAGAACCAAGTAGCAAACAACTGCGTAGTAGCAGGCTGCAGCTACACACAACCAAAGCACTTTAACACGTGAAGCTGACAGCACAGTGAGAAAAAAAGAAAATAAGTGCTACCCTCGGCAGAAATGCAGATGAAGCCTCAATAGATGACAACATCGTCAATAACACTGGCACAAAAACGTCAGTGGTGTGGAGGTATTTTGTTTTTTTGAGGTCGGACATGAAGCAGAGTAATGTGCACAGCGAATTATGTTGAGCACATGTTCTGCCAAAGTCGAGGGAATGCCTCAACTCTTTTTCACCACCTGATGCAGTGCCACACAAAAGAGCACGCACAATGCAAAAAGTTACAAACCCAGAGCAGAGCAGGGAGCCCATGGTGCTTGTGCAGCCAAAACAGCCGACCATTCAGTCCACGTCGAAGAGACACAAAGACCTCACAGGTGCAGTAGCTTATTGTATTGCAAAAGACATGCTACCAAAAAGCACAGTAGAATTTCATTTTTTATATCTTGATATATATATCGACATTGACTGATATGAAAAAAACATAACTCCATAAAAAATAAAACTCAATATTGCCCAGCCCTACCTTTTGTTCATGCACTTACAACAAAAGCAGAAACACTACGGAGCCCCTAAAGGGACATGGATGGACTTTTTTTTTTTGCGAGATCTCGCAAAAGTATTGCGAGAGCTCGCAATAAGTATTGCGAGATCTCGCAAAAGTATTGCGAGCGCTCGCAATAAGTATTGCGAGATCTCGCAATACTTTTTTGCGAGATCTCGCAAAGTTCTGTCCTACTTCGGTGAACCGGAAGTAAAACAGACACACATGATGGAGTAGCGTACACATCATAGACATAATAAAAGGGTAGACCCCGCTGGGGGTGCTGCGCAGCGAGAAATGCGGCCGCCATCTTGGTCAGGTCAAGCTTCCCATACGCTCCGGTCAATCATATTCATTCATTCATTCATTCAGCGATGCCGGAGCACTGTGCGGCGTATTCCTGTGCCAACAGGCGGACAGCAGAGAACACGGCTCAAGGAATAACTTTTCACAGTTATGATTACACGTTTTTTCAACATTACACTTGACTGTAGAGTCATTTGTAGGCCAAAGAGGAAGACAGTGGTGCAGAGTGAGGCGGATGACCGGACCAAGATGGCGGCCGCATTTCTCGACAGCGCCCATTCGTGGTAGCGGCCGATGCGGGGTCTATCTTTTATTATGTCTATGGTACACATCATCCGTGCTCTGTTGCTCCTTCTTCTTATTATTATTATTATTTTAGGCTTATTTTAGGCTATTTTAGGCGTGTTTTACTTCCGGTTCAATGAATGGAGAAAAAACTTTTGCGAATGTCCCTTTAGGGGCTCCGTAGAAACACAAACAGGGTTTCCTGCTTTAGATGAAAAGTATTTGAGATATCTACTGAATTTGACCATAAAGATTGAGACATTGTTAGACATTAAAGAAACATGCAAAAATTTAGATACTAGCCTCCCTGATAACAATGAATTAGCCTGCACATCCAAGGGCGTGTCTAGAGGGGTGGCATAGGCCCCCTTGAAATCTGAATTGCAGTGATATAAAATTGAATCTTCTTTTGGGGATCAGTAAAGTTTTTCTTATCTTACAAGTAGATATAGCAGTAACTGACTCTACTGGATCTCAAAAGCCTCTACACTGGAAGAGCCACATGTTATTATGATAACTTCACAGTCACAAGCATACTTCATGCATCACATTATACCTTTTACATTTATCTATTCTATTTCAAATGCACAAAAATGTGTGTAAAATTGGCATGTACTTCAAACAACCA